GCAATGCTCATGACCTTCTTTATACTATTTGTTTAACTTTCTGAAATCCCAATTAATTCCTATGTTAGGTGAAAAGGAATTAATAAGGAGTCCGACAAGTTCATATACAGTGGTACCTTGGGTTACATATGCTTCAGGTTACATACGCTTCAGGTTGCAGACTCTGCTAACCCAGAAATAATACCTTGGGTTAATAACTTTGCTTCAGGATGAGAACAGAAATCGCGCAGCGGCAGTGGGAGGCCCCATTAGCTAAAGTGGTGCTTCAGCTTAAGAACCGTTCCAGGTTAAGTACGGACCTCCGGAACGAATTAAGTACTTAACCGGAGGTACCACTGTATTCACATCCAAAAAGTCACACTCAGAACAAGACCCCATTTAGAGCCCCAGAGAGGAACATACAGCTAAATGATACAGACCAGTCACAATGCTACAGTCACTAAACCAAGAGTTGAACAGAAAACGGTCTCCTCTTATCTTAAAAGGTCTTCACGACAAGGCAGTGCAGACCCAGAGGCCCATCTAGTCCAGGTTCCTCTTCTCCCTGTGGCTGATCAGATGCCCTGTGGGAAGCCCCCAAGAAGACCTGAGAGCAACACCCCTACTCTCCCCCAACCCGGGGATTCCCCACAACTGAAGCTCAAAGGCACCTGCTGCCTCCGACAGTGGAGGCCCCACGTAGCCATCCCTGAATAGGTCTAGTCTTCCAAGTCTTCTAAAGCCAGCCAAATTGGTGGCCTTCCCTGCCTTTTATGTGAAGGAGTTCCAGAGTTTTACTGTCTTTTGTCAGTCCGGAATCTTCCACCATCTGTGATGTGATAGGAATTTGGAGGTCTTAGATATATGTTAAATGTTCATAAGTGTACCAACCAAGCACTTACATAGATCAGGACAGGAAGACTGCCCTGAAACCATTTTGATTCCCAAACTGAGCAAATGTTTTCTCTGCAAGGTCAAAGGAAAATGGAAAAGCTTCCCCATTGTTTTTTCCTTCACAAATCCTGTCTTAGGGGAACATTTAGGATGTTAATAGGGTGTGAGTGACCTGGCTCAGGAACTAAGTATTTATCATAACAAAAGACTGGCCAGGCTCCCCAGGCAATCCAATCAAGTGACCATTAAACAGGTAACCTGGCAGACAGGAGGTAAACAAACCTCTCAGATTTCTGCTGTAAACCGCCTTTTCTGTGATGTATGTATGATGTATGGAGGGGTGGTCTTGAGCGCCAGGGCAGGGAATTTAAAACGTCTCTATAAGGCCTTGAGCGCCATTGTTCGGGTTTCCTCCTTCCTCCTTATTTTCCCCTTATTTTCTTTGCCAAGTATGCGAAAAGAGTGGAGTCATATTCCTCCCATTTGTGGAGTTCACACTTCCACATCTGTATAATACAGCGTGAGTCATTGGGAGCTCTTGTTGTCAGTGTGGGTCTGTGGCTGCCCTTGTGATGTGTCCCTGGCCTTCGTTCTGCACCATCAAGCCAACATGTTTAGTAATGGAGTCTAGAATATTTGGGGACTTAACTAATTAACTTGGGGTGGAGTCTTGCTTCTTTAAAAGAAATAATAGCTATTCATCAACAAAACACCATCCATTTTGTTATCAACCACCAGGGTGCACATTATTTTTCTAATTGGATCATCTATATCTTCTAGATTAATACCTATGATGCCAACTGTTTCTCCTCCTTTTAAAAAATATTTTTGTGATAACTGAAAATATGGGTCCAATTTCTATTTTTAATCAAATATTACTTTAAACTTCCTGCTGAATCAATTTATTTATTTCAGCTTATTTTTGCTAGGTTTCTCTGTTGTCATCTGCCTATGTCTTGTGATGTAGATAAGGTGTGGCTTCTCCACTGCAAATCACTGTGGAATGTGGCACTTTTCAAGAATATTAGCTGGACGTATTCTCTAAATGAATTACCTGGTGTCTGATGAATGCCTTCTTCTGAATGAAGCTTTTCCCACAATCAGGACATTCATAGGGCTTCTCCTCCACGTGGGTTCTTTGGTGTTTGATCAGCATATCTCACGGAGAAAAGTTCTTCCCGCACTCAGGGCATTCGTGAAGTTTCTCTCTGTTAACGGAGAAATCTGAGGGCTCCCTTGGACAAAAAACAAGGACACCAAGCAGGAATACCAGAACAAAACAGCAGCCAGTAGGCTTGCTCTTTATTGAAGACTCGCAACAGGATTCCCACCTGCCACAAGGTGGAACAAGATGGAAGCCCCGAACAAAAGAGCCCCCAAACTTTTATTAGTTGCTAATCCCCATGTTTCATCCCCCCAAACTACATCACTAATACATCATGGTTACATAATGAAAGAGGAGGTCTGGTGGCAGTAATCTGAGCATCCTGGACCCTGCCCCATGGTTCTCTTTGCCCTCCACCAAACACCCATCAAGTGTAGCAAAAGAGATATTTACATTTCCCTGTTTCCCAGCCAAGTTAATCACACCCTTTTGCCTTCATCTGGGTTTGTTATTTCTGGAATGGCTACCTGTCTGGCACTCAGGTATCAGGATGCCAGGAATTATCACTCAGGCAGAGGGGCTGCTGAGTAGCTGAGCTCACATGTCTATATGAATTTCTGAAGTTTTCCCAGTGAGCCAGTACATAGATACATTTATCAGCGAATTTAACAAGATGAACTTTAACAGGGAGAAATGTAAAGAATTGCACTTGGGCAAAAAAAATGAGAGGCACAAATACAAGATGGGTGACACCTGGCTTGAGAGCAGTACATGTGAAAAGGATCTAGGAGTCTTGGTTGACCACAAACTTGACATGAGCCAACAGTGTGACGCGGCAGCTAAAAAAGCCAATGCAATTCTGGGCTGCATCAATAGGAGTATAGCATCTAGATCAAGGGAAGTAATAGTGCCACTGTATTCTGCTCTGGTCAGACCTCACCTGGAGTACTGTGTCCAGTTCTGGGCACCACAGTTCAAGAAGGACACTGACAAACTGGAACGTGTCCAGAGGAGGGCAACCAAAATGGTCAAAGGCCTGGAAACGATGCCTTATGAGGAACGGCTAAGGGAGCTGGGCATGTTTAGCCTGGAGAAGAGGATGATATGATAGCCATGTTCAAATATATAAAAGGATGTCACATAGAGGAGGGAGAAAGGTTGTTTTCTGCTGCTCCAGAGAAGCGGACACGGAGCAATGGATCCAAACTACAAGAAAGAAGATTCCACCTAAACATTAGGAAGAACTTCCTGACAGTAAGAGCTGTTTGACAGTGGAATTTGCTGCCAAGGAGTGTGGTGGAGTCTCCTACTTTGGAGGTCTTTAAGCAGAGGCTTGACAACCATATGTCAGGAGTGCTCTGATGGTGTTTCCTGCTTGGCAGGGGGTTGGACTCGATGGCCCTTGTGGTCTCTTCCAACTCTATGATTCTATGAATTCTTACATTTGGTATCGTGCAGCAGAGGCCCTTTGAATAGATAGGAAGAAGAAGAGGAGTTTGGACTTGATATCCCGCTTTATCACTACCTGAAGGAGTCTCAAAGCGGCTAACAATCTCCTTTCCCTTCCTCCCCCACAACAAACACTCTGTGAGGTGAGTGGGGCTGAGAGACTTTAGAGAAGTGTGACTGGCCCAAGGTCACCCAGCAGCTGCATGTGGAGGAGCGGAGACCCGAACCCGGTTCCCCAGATAACGAGTCCACCGCTCTTAACCACTACACCACACTGGCTCTCCTGTGTGGTTCAACTGTGATGAAGTGTTTTGTGGGGACAAATCACAAAAGTCACAAGCGATTGTGCTGATTTTGGTAGTGGGCTGCATGTGCATGATATCTGCTGGAGGGGCAACCCCCCCAAAAAAACCTATACATAAATTCCTGCAACATCTCCCATGTGGATCAATCAGCCTACAAGGATGATGGAAACTTTTCCCGCACTCGGGGCACTCATAAGGCTTCTCCCCTGTGTGGGTTCTCTGGTGCTTGATCAGCGTATCCCGCCGGGAGAAGTTTTTCCCACACTCGGGACATTCGTGCGGTTTCTCCCCTGTGTGCGTCTTCTGGTGTTCAATTAAGTTGCACGGGTGGTTGAAGTTTCTCCCGCAATCGGGGCACTCGTACGGCTTCTCCCCTGTGTGAGTCCTCCGGCGATTGAGTAAAGTATCTCTCCGGGAAAAGCTTTTCCCGCAGTCCGGGCATTCGTGAGGCTTCTCTCCCGTGTGGATCTTCTGGTGCCTCTTCAAATGGAGTTGCCACCGGAAGCCTTTCCCACACTGGGAGCATTGATACGGCCTCTCTCCCGTGTGGATTCGCAGGTGACTCACCCAATTGGTTCTCTGGCTGAAGCTTTTCCCACAGTGAGAGGACTTGTGCGGTTTCTCTTCAGTGCCGGTCAGTGTAGACAATGCTAGGTGGACCCAAGGGGTCTGTCTGGCTGACTCTGCTTTTAATAAAACGGCTACTTTTAAAATGAGGGATGCGGGTGGCACTGTGGGTTAAACCACTTGCCGATCAGAAGGTCGGCGGTTCAAATCCCCGTGATGGGGTGAGCTCCCGTTGCTCGATCCCTGCTCCTGCCAACCTAGCAGTTCGAAAGCACGTCAAAGTGCAAGTAGATAAATAGGTACCGCTCCGGCGGGAAGGTAAACGGCGTTGCCGTGCGCTGCTCTGGTTAGCCACAAGCGGCTTAGTCATGCTGGCCACATGACCCAGAAGCTGTACGCCGGCTCCCTCGGCCAATAAAGCGAGATGAGCAACCCCAGAGTCGGTAATGACTGGACCTAATGGTCAGGGGCCCCTTTACCTTTACCTTACTTTTAAAATGAGGCTGCATTTTAAATTGCATTTTAACCTGTATTTAAAATTGGATTTTTTCCCCCTATTATGTTTTTACTGTAATTTTACTGGTGTTAGCCGCCCTGAGCCCGGCTCTGGCCGGGGAGGGCGGCGTATAAATAAATTTATTATTATTATTATTATTATTATTATTATTATTATTATTATTCCAGCCTGTTTGTTCGCATGCCACCTCTCTGTTGGGTAGCTGCCCCACAGCCCCCAATGGGTTAAACGGATAGAGCCGTGTTTTGCAGAGAGGCCCAGGGAGCAGCCAGCCAATGCTGTCCCTTCCTTTTCCTGCCAGGGAACTCAGCTGCAAAACCCTGGCTGCTTTCTGCAGAAGGTCAGAGAGGTGAGTGCAGAGCTGTGTTTTGGGGCAAGGAGGGAGGCGAGCCAGGAGGCAAGAGGAATTGGCAAGGAAAACGCATTCAGGTGGTTTGGAAGCGGCGAGGGGGTTTGACATGTATGGAGTCAGGCTGATGGTCCATCCAGCCCCGTATTGTCTGCACAGGCAGGCAGCAGCCCCCTGGGGCTTCAGGACATCCCTGCTTAGGGATTGACGCTGCATGCAGAGCAGGGTCTCTGCCCACTGCAGCCCATGTCTCTCTATACTGACCCATACAGGAACATCACCATCATCATTCTATATTTTGAAATCATTTTTATTTGATTTTACAGATACAAAATTATAACAATCCAAATGCATATCCATATATAGAGATTACTCCGAATCTCGAGATTCCCTCCCTCCATGGGTCCTATTGTCAACATTTACAACTGCATATTATTTCATAATCTATATTTTATATCAATCCATATTATCCATGGTATTTGTTACACTGCAAGTGAGATTAAAATCCTGCTCATGTTCTCATCTGCTTGCCGTGGTCTCCTAAATAAATTACAATTCCCCCCCCCCCCGTTCCTTTTTAAAGTTTTTGTCCTCTTGGTTCCTGAGTTTTCCAGTCAGCTTTCCTTGCCACTCCTCTCTGGTAGGGACTTTGTCTTCTTTCCATCTCTGGGCTAGTAGCATCCGAGCGCATTATTATTATAATTTAATATTTATACCCCACCCATCTGACTGGATTGCCCCAGCCACTCTAGGCAGCTTCCAACATATATAAAACATAATAATTTATTTTTTTTAAAAAAACTTCCCTGTATAGTCAGACCATTGGTTTCCCTACCTCAGCATTGTCCGAACTGACTGACAGCAGCTCTCCAGAGTTTCAGACAAGAGTCCTTTCTAGTCCTACAGAGAAGTTTTTAATGTATGACATCATAGTGTATTTTTGGCCTTGTGGAAGCTGCCCAGAGTGGCTGGGGAAACCTAGCCAGATGGGCAGGGTACAAATAAATTTATTATTATTATTATTATAATTATTACCTGGAAATGCCAAGGGTTGAACCTGGAGGCCTTCTGCATGCAAATCATGTGTTCTGCTGAGCTGTTAACCTTTCCCTTTTTCCCACCAGGGACAAAATTTTGCTATTTCTTGATCCCCAAGAAAGGCAGATAATACACAAAGCGCCATCTCACTTCTCGCATCCCCTTCCACTCGTCTTGCGATATACAAGATAAAACCCACATAGCAAGAAAGGTGTTGTTGTTGTTGTTTAGTCGTTTAGTCGTGTCCGACTCTTCGTGACCCCCTGGACCAGAGCACGCCAGGCACGTCTGTCTTCCACTGCCTCCCGCAGTTTGGTCAAACTCATTTGGTAGCTTCGAGAACACTGTCCAACCATCTCGTCTTCTGTCGTCCCCTTCTCCTTGTGCCCTCCATCTTTCCCAACATCAGGGTCTTTTCCAGGGAGTCTTCTCTTCTCATTAGGTGGCCAAAGTATTGGAGTCTCATCTTCACGATCTGTCCTTCCAGTGAGCACTCAGGGCTAATTTCCTTCAGAATGGATAGGTTTGATCTTCTTGCCGTCCATGGGACTCTCAAGAGTCTCTTCCAGCACCATAATTCAAAAGCATCAATTCTTTGGCGATCAGCCTTCTTTATGGTCCAGCTCTCACTTCCATACATCACTACTGGGAAAACCATGGCTTTAATTATTCGGACCTTTGTTGGCAAGGTGATGTCTCTGCTTTTTAAGATGCTGTCATCTTTGGCTTTGCCATCGCCTTTCTCCCTAGGAGCAGGCGTCTTTTAAATTCACTAATTGAGCCACCAGAAACCAACTCTGCACCTCAAATCAAAACCATAAGCAGACTAAGCAACACAAATATGAATTGCTTCGAAATTGTGGCGGAACAGAACCGCTTTTATCTGCCGTTGAGGAGGTGTCTGGGATATGTGCTTATAATGCAATTGCGTGAACCTGCTAAGCCTTTTCAGCTCAGTGCCGGAACATCTGCCTTGGCATGCAGATGGTCACAGGTTCAGTTCCCGACATCTCCAGGCAGAGTTGAGAGAGAAATCCTACTGATAGCCCAGAGATGAAATAGCAGATCAAGCTGATGGATTGTGCCAAAATGGCTAAAATGACTGGGAAGATCAGAAATAAGGAAGATGAAAAATGTAATGAGGAATGGAGGAAAATTATAATTTGCCTGTAAACAGAGACCACTGTAAATGGTTAAAATCGTTAGTGGGATTGCAATAACACTTGTAATGTAACGAGAACTATGGAGATATAAAAATCTGGATTATTATAAAAGATGCAGGAGAAAAGGTTTAACCATGAGACCCACAGAGGGGGAGGAGGGAAGTCCAGAGATTCGTAAGAATCTTGTAGTTTTGGAATGTGTTGTGGTATGATTGTAATTCTTAATACAGCGGTACCTCTGCTTAAGTACTTAATTTGTTCTGGAGGTCCGTTCTTAACCTGAAACTGTTCTTAACCTGAAGCACCACTTTAGCTAATGGGACCTCCCGTTGCCGTTGCTCCACCAGAGCACGATTTCTGTTCTCATCCTGAAGCAAAGTTCTTAACCTGAAGCACTATTTCTGGGTTAGTGGAGTCTGTAACCTGAAGCGTATGTAACCTGAAGCGTATTTAACCCAAGGTACCATTGTATGTAAAATAAAAATTTGGGGAGAAAAGGGAAAAATCCTAGAGAACTACTGCCCGTCAATGCAAACAGCACTGAGGTAGTTAGACTGATGGCCTGACTTTCTATGTTCCTAATGTAACACAGCTCTTAAAAAAAAAAATTCCTCAGGAATAATCTTCCGTCTTTTGTCTCTGTTGGATTCAGGACAGGGTCATTGCCAATGGAACTTCTTACCTCGCACCAGATTGAGTGTCTGAACCGAACGAAGCAGGCGACTGAAGACACGGTTTAGGAGCTGATGTGGAGAGAGGCGCAGCTGTTGCATTTGTGAACAAGAGACGGAACGAGAGATGAACCGGAGTGAAATTCAAGCTTTGCCGAGTCGGGGCGCAGGTCCGGGAACACGAGCAAAGAGGCAGGGCGGGGCAGGACCCAAATTGCATAAGGGGCCTGTAAGAGTCCAGCGGGAGGTTGTGGAGCCGTTCCCAACAGCCAGGCAGTCACCAAACATGGGATGGAGCAGTCCACGCTTGCCAGAACTTGCCCCTCGGGAAGACCCCATGCCTTGTCCGCTGTCCGCAGAAAGAACGCACTGCAACAGTGGCAGCCCTGAAGGAGACAGCGCAAGCAGCCTCCCGACAGGCCTCAGCAGAGCATCTGAAGAGGCCTACATGGGTTTGGATTCTGGGCAAAGCAGGGAAGAGCCCTGGGAAAGGGACACCATCGCCCTGGAGGCACAGCAACTGAACTTCCGACGGTTCCGCTACCAGGAGGTCGAGGGACCACGGGAAGTGTGCAGCCAGCTCTGGTACCTGTGCCACCGGTGGCTGAAGCCGGAGAGGCACACCAAGGAGCAGATCCTGGAGCTGGTGATTCTGGAGCAGTTCCTGGCCGTCCTGCCATTGGAGATGCGGAGCTGGGTCTGGGAAGGCAGGCCGGAGACCTGCTCCCAGGCGGTGGCCCTGGCAGAAGGTTTCCTGAGGAGGCAGCAATCGGTTGAGAAAGAGGTGAGGGCATTTCTCTCTTTTCTTTTTTGAAATAACAATCGAACTATACATTTGTTGTTGTTTAGTCGTGTCCGACTCTTCGTGACCCCCTGGACCAGAGCACGCCAGGCACTCCTGTCTTCCACTGCCTCCCGCAGTTGGGTCAAACTCATGCTGGTAGCTTCGAGAACACTGTACATACTATACAACTATACAACCAACTGTACATATCCATAGTTAAAGATTCATTCGAATCTCTGGACTTCCACCTTCCCCTCCCTGGGTCCTATTGTTAACTTTTTCTACTGCATATTTTTCAGTAGTCCATATTTTATATTACTCCGTGGTTTCCAGAAATACTTGCTGCATTACAAGTTTTATTGCTAATGTTTTTATCTGCTGATAGTGGTCTCCAAGGTAAATTATAAATTTCCCCCATTCTTTATTAAAGTTTTGGTCTTCTTGGTTGCTGTACTTTCCAGTCACTTTTGCCATTTTGGCATAGTCCTGCCGTTTAATTTGCCATTCTTCTCTGGTAGGGACTTTATCTTCTTTCCATCTCTGGGCTAGTAGCATCCGTGCGGCTGTCATCACATACATAAAAAGTCTTTTCTGCTCCTTTGGGCTGTCTGCCCCTATAAATCCTAATAAAAAAAAGCCTCTGGTTCTTTTTTTACAAAAGTTAATTTGAACATTTTTCTCATCTCATTATATATCATTCCCCAGAATGCTTTTATTACCTTAAAAGACCACCACATATGACAGAAGGTGCCTTATTTTTCTTTCCTTTTCCAGCAGATATTTGTACCTGTCTTATATATTTTTGCTAACTTACTGGGAGTCAGATACGGGAGCATTTCTTTCTAAGCCGACCCTGGCGGCATTCGGATTCTGTGATAATACCGCATTGTCACCTGCTGGATTCCCAATGTGTTGTTCTTTGTGGGATTCTCAAAACAACGCATTGATGTTTGCCGGCGTCCAGAGACGTATCTGATGGATCACTGTGGGAAGAGAACGATGGACTAGATGTAGCTTCTTTTGAGTAGCCCATTGGAGGACCAAAGGTCCGCCCTTCTTTCCGGCACCCCTGCCCCTTTGCCCAGTACTTTTCCATCCTACCCTGTTGCCTTTTTCCAGCTACCTTGACAGGGTTGTGTCCTCCTGGCTGTTTCAGGTACTGCCTATGAATTCCGCTGCTCTTTCAGAGGCCAGAGAGAAGCCGCTGCGTGTGGAAGTCAAAGAAGAGGGTGGCAGAAGTGGGTCCCCTTCAGGTAAGGCGGAAGTCATAGAATCATAGAGTTGGAAGAGACCACAAGGGCCATCGAGTCCAACCCCCTGCCAAGCAGGAAACACCATCAGAGCACTCCGGACATATGGTTGTCAAGCCTCTGCTTAAAGACCTCCAAAGAAGGAGACTCCACCACACTCCTTGGCAGCAAATTCCACTGTCGAACAGCTCTTACTGTCAGGAAGTTCTTCCTAATGTTTAGGTGGAATCTTCTTTCTTGTAGTTTGGAAAGAAGTCCTTGGTTGCCTGGAGTGCAGGCTTCTCCCCGGGTGCTTAAACCTCAGCTCTTCCCTGTCCCTAGAACAGGAGGTGCCCATCTGATATCTGGGGGCGCACAAACCTACAAACGCTTTCTCCGGAGGCTGCAGGGTCAGCCCTGACAACTGAACTGGGGCTTGAAAGAAATGTCCTATTCTTCTTTGGGGATCCCTCGTAGCCGAGTAAGATTGTCTTCCATGAACACAGTCTTAACAGTGAATCCTTAAGTGACTGCGGAGGCCAATTCTGGATCCACACATCCTTCCACAGTGGGGACATTGGTTTCTGGGTGGGAGTTGATCACGGTGAGGGTTTGCCGAGCGTGCCGTCCTCCTAGCACGTTTCTCCCTTGTGTCCTGAGTTTGAGCATCTTCAAAGCCCATGACACCTTTGGTAAAGGCTGTTCTAATTTTTTAAGATTTGCCTTCCTTTTATCCTATTGCAGTCAGTGCTTGAAAGGAGCTAGGCCATACATTTTAAGCACTGTGATACCTCTTTAAACTGTCATGGCTCCCCCCCCCCTGCAAAGAATTCTGGGAGCTGTGGTTTGTTAAGGGTACCCACAGTTGCTAGGAAGCACCTATTTCCCTCCCAGACCTACAGTTCCCAGAGTGGTATAACTATCAATCCCTCCTCACAGGGAACTCTGGGAACTGTAGTTCTGGGAGGGGAATAGGACTCCCCTAGAACAGTGTTTCCCAACCGGTGTTCCGCGGCACACCAGTGTGCCGTGAGACCTTGCCTGGTGTGCCGTGGGAGGGAGGCGGGAGAGGCGGGGCGGCGGCGGCATCTCCTGCTGGATGCAAATCCAAACATTGCGGGCGGCAGCCTGCAGCGCGGAGCGCGGGGCGCCCTTTGGAGGACGCCCCGTGCTTCGCGCAGCTGTCCGCAAGCCTTGGGCGCCTGGGGGAACTACCCCCCCCCGGCGCGCAAGGCTTGCGGCGGCAGCCTGCAGCACGGAGCGCGGGGCGCCCTTTGGAGGACGCCCTGTGCTTCGCGCAGCTGTCCGCAAGCCTTGCGCGCCCAGGGGAACTCCCCCCCGCGTGCACGGCTTGCGGGCGGCAGCCAGCAGCGCGGAGCACAGGGCGCCCTCCGTAGGAGGCTGCGGAGGGTGGCGCGGAGCTGCCCGCGCTCCAGGGCTTCTTGCAGCTCCGCGCCACCCCCGGATCCCGGTGCGAAGCCGCGCGGGGCTGCGGAGGGTGGCACGGAGCTGCCTGCGCTCCAGGGCTTCTTGCAGCTCCGCGCCACCCCCCGGATCCTGGCGCGAAGCCGCGCGGGGCTCCGGAGGGTGGCGCGAAGCTACCTGGGCTCCAGGGCTTCCTGCAGCTCTGCACCACCCTCTGGATCCTGGCGCGAAGCCGCGCGGGGCTCCGGAGGGTGGTGCGAAGCTGCCTGCGCTCCCGGGCTTCTTGCAGCTCCGCGCCACCCCCCGGATCCCAGCGCGAAGCCGCACGGGGCTCTGGAGGGTAGCGCAGAGCTGCCTGCATCCCGAAGCCTGGTGCGCGCTGAAGAGCGCCCCCGGGCTTCACGCACCTCTCCGCAAGCCTGGGGAGACCAGTGTGGCTCCCTAGGCTTGCGGATATCAGGCTGTTCTGGGGGCTGGGGTCGGGGGAAGCTTGGGCTTCCCCCGCGCCTGCCCCGTGCCTGGGGAGGGGAAATTTTTTTTTCTTTATTTTCCCCCCAAAAAATTAGGTGCGTCTTATGGGGCGGTGCGTCCTATGGGGCGAAAAATATGGTAGTCAATATAGGCACAGAGTTAAATTTTTTAACATTTTCTAATGGTGGTGTGCCTCGAGATTTTTTTCATGAAACAAGTGTGCCTTTGCCCAAAAAAGGTTGGGAAACACTGCCCTAGAACACTCAGCACAACCACAACAAACTCCAATTCCCAGAATTCTTTGAAGGAAGTCATGGCTGCTTAAAGTGCTATTGGTGCGGGGCACTGTGGTCTAAGCCACTGAGCCTCTTGGGCTTACCGATCAGAAGGTCGGTGGTTCGAATTCCCACAACGGACTGAGCTCCCATTGCTCTGTCCCAGCTGCTGCAAACCTAGCAGTTCAAAAGCATGCCAGTGCAAGTAGATAAATAGGCACCACTGCAGAGGGAAGGTAAACGTCATTTCCATGCGCTCTGGTGTTCCGTTGCGCCAGAAGCAGTTTAGTCATGCTGGCCACATGACCCGGAAAGCCATTGTGGACAAACACCGGCTCCCTCGGCCTGAAAGTGAGATGAGCGCCGCAACCCCATACAGTTACGTACTTAATTCGTTCCAGAAGTCTGTTCTTAACCTGAAACTGTTCTTAACCTGAGGTACCACTTTAGCTAATGCGCCGCTGCGCCGCCGGAGCACGATTTATGTTCTCATCCTGAAGCAAAGTTTTTAACCCGAGGTACTATTTCTGGGTTAGCAAGAGTCTGTAACCTGAAGCGTATGTAACCCGAGGTACCACTGTAGTTGCCTTTGACTGGACTTAACCGTCCAGGGGTCCTTTACCTTTTCCCCCTTTTTACTTTAAAACTATGGTGTGAATGTGGTCTCAGTTTTGCCCCTTGTGGAACACAGTGGAGAGGAAGATAGGGAGAAATCTTGTGTAATTCCCAGTGTAGTTCACCAATCAACCCCTCGTCACAGGGAACTGGGAATTGTAGGCCCCAGAAGGAAGCCCTTAAAGAAATATGGCCCCTGGACTGCAAAGCTTACCCCACCCTTGTGATAAAAGTATTTCCTCAACCCCTGCTATAATTTTGGTTTTGCCCCCTCTCTTATGGACCAATAAAGTGGTACCTCGGGTTACATATGCTTCAGGTTACAGACTCCGCTAACCCAGAAATAGTACCTCGGGTTAAGAACTTTGCTTCAGGATGAGAGCAGAAATCGTGCTGCGGCGGCAGCAGGAGGCCCCATTAGCTAAAGTGGTGCTTCAGGTTAAGAACAGTTTCAGGTTAAGAATGGACCTCCAGAACAAATTACCGTATTTTTTGCACCATAACACTCACTTTTTTCCTCCCAGAAAGTAAGGGGAAATGTCTGTGCGTGTTATGGAGGGAATGCCTACGGGTGGCGGGGGGGGTCTGCTGCAGTCGTGAGCAGAGGATCCATGGTTCCCCTTCCTTCCCTCCTCCGTGGCTCGCTTTGAAACAGCAAAGTGGGAGAAGAGCTGCTGAGTGGGGAGGAGAGAGGGACAGAGAGCCTGCTTGCTTTAAAGGAGCAAAGCGGGAAAGGAGCCGCTTACACGAGTCCTGTCCGGTTGGTTCCTCCCCTTATACCCCTCTTCTTCATTATTAGCAGCATCCTTCTCCACCCACCCCACGTGTGCTCCTTGTCCCTTGAGTGCTTTTCCTTCCCTCCCCACTTAAAACGTGGTTACAAAGCACGGATCCACATGGATCCTCAGGATTTTTACACTGGGTCACCCCAAATTCACCATCAGATCACATAGCATGTCCATGGCTACAGCTTGCACCAAAAAAATCACGCACCCACTGTTGCCTGGGGCCGCAGTGGTGCAAAAACGTGGTTACAAAGCATGGATCCACATGGATCCTCAGGATTTTTGCATTGGACTACTCCAAACTCACTGTCAGATCACATGTCTGTGGCCACAGCATGAACCACAAAAATCATACATCCACTGTTTCGTTTAGAATATTTTTTTTTCTTGTTTTCCTCCTCTAAAAACTACGTGCGTGTTATGGTCGGGTGTGTGTTATAGAGCGAAAAATACGGTAAGTACATAAGCAGAGGTACCACTGTACAGCTTACTTTTGCCACTTACTAAGAACCAAGTTTATCTGCAACAATTATAATGTCAGCTAAAACGTAAAACAGCAATTCAAAGCAAGCTCATAGTATCAAGCGATGCTAAACCCACATTAATCCACTCCCTACCAATTCACCGCAAACCATTTCTCTAGATTATTGTTGCTTTCCTCTCCTTTAGGTGACAGCTGGCTGAATCAGCAGGAGGGTAATCCACAGCCGGAAAGGCCAACCCAAGAAGACCCTCATTTGCAATGTCAGGATAACAAAACAGCTTTCCTGCCTTATTCAGAGCATGAAGATGGGAAGCCACCCGGAAGACAGTCTGAATGATCCTGAGAGAAACCCTGGGGATTTCCCAAAGATCCCTCCCAAAGGCAAGAAGCAAAGGACTTGTGGCGTCTGTGGAAAGAGCTTCAGCCGCAGCACCGGCCTGATCGCACATCAGAGAATCCACACTGGGGAGAAGCCGTACGAGTGTCCTGACTGCGGGAAATCCTTCACATTGAAGTCGAACCTGATAGCCCACGAAAGGACTCACAATGGGCAGAAACCGTACGAGTGCCAGCAGTGTGGGAAAAGCTTCAGCGTGAGCTCGCAGCTCATTAAGCACAAGAGGACTCACTCGGGGGAGAAACCGTACAAATGCGCTGAGTGCGGGCAGGCGTTCCGCCAAAGCTCGCACCTTAGAAACCACCAGAGAATCCACACGGGAGACCGGCCGTTCAAGTGCTCAGACTGCGGGAAAAGCTTCAGCGTGAGCTCAGACCTGATCCGGCACGAAATATCGCACACGGGGGAGAAACCGTACCAGTGTCCCGACTGCGGCAAGCGCTTCTGCAACAGTTCGCAGATTATTACTCACCGGAGAGTCCACACGGGGGAAAAGCCGTACAAATGCCTGGAGTGCGGGAAAAGCTTCACCGTGAGCCAGCAGCTCAGCAGGCACCAGCGAGTCCACACGGGAGAGAAGCCATACAAATGTCCCGAATGCGGGAAAACCTTTGGTGTCAGCACACTCCTTACGGGACACCTGAGAATCCACACCGGAGAAAAACCGTACGAATGTTCGGAATGTGGGAAAAGCTTCAGGCTGCGCTCAAACCTTATTGCACATCAGAAAATACACACCGCAAGGAAATCCTAGGCATTTTTACTCTGTGTGTGTGTGTGCGCGCGCGCTTGCTTGCTGGAGGGATTAAATTTGAATTCAGTTCTCTGATTTTTCACAATATTCACATATGGGACCTAGAGTCGCCATATTCTGAAGAGCAAAAAAGAGGACACATTGGCCAACTTTTCACTCTGGATCTCTATGATAACCGTCATCATGAAATAGAGGCCGTGTCCTAGAAAAAGAGGACATATGGCAACCCTACCGGTGGCCTGATCAGATCTATAGAATGGGGTAGCCCAGGGGTCAGCAAACCTTTTCAGCAGGGGGCTGGTCCACTGTCCCTCAGACCTTGTGGGGGTGGTGGACTATATTGGGGGGGGGGGGAATGAATGAATTCCTATGCCCCACAAATAACCCAGAGATGCATTTTAAATAAAAGGGCATATTCTACTTATGTAAAAACACACTGATTCCTGGACCGTCCATGGGCCTGATTTAGAAGGCGACTGGGCCGGATCCAGCCCCCGGGCCTTAGTTTGCCTACCCATGGGGTAGCCACTGTGGGCCCCTCCAGAGGCTGGATTTCATCTTCCATCAGCCGTGGCTAGCACAGCTCAAAGTAAAAAAAGGATTGGAGTTCTAACTTAACAACCTCTGGAGGGGACCACATTGCTACTCCCTGCCCCAGAGCAGCGTTCTCCAATCTTAGGTCCTCAAATGTTGTTGGAATTGTAGCCCAACAACATCATTCTCACAGTTTTTAAAAGAAATTACTGGACAGGAATTTACTCTCAAGGCGACCTCCTGCGTTAGGAGGAATCCCTTAAATTTAGTTGTTTTGTAAGCATGTCTTCACCGAAAGGTTTTTTCTTATGAGGAAGCGAAGGGAGAAGACTTAAGGTGACCCCATTGCAAAATACAAACATAGGAGGTTTGTCAAAGCCGCGCACCAACAAACTCTAGAGATTACTGTACCTGGTTAACTTAATTGTTCCGGACATTCTTAACCTGAAATGTCTTAAAAGACACTTAGCTAATGGGGCCTCCTTGCTAACCGCCAGAGCACGTTTCTGTTCTTACCTGAAGCAAAGTTCTTACGAAGCCTATTTCTGTGAGCGAGGTGAACTGAATGTTTGTAACGGTAGTATTGGCGTTGAATGATTGCCCAACCTGCTTGTGAATATTTGCTGCATCGACTTGAAACCTAGCGGCCACCTGCAATAATTTACCCAGTGGCCGTATCTCTACAGGAAGTGGGATGGGCTGTGGGACACCTGCCTTGCGTGCAGAAGGTTCCCAGTTCAATCCAGGTAGGGCTAGGAGAGTTTCCCTGCCTGAAATCCTGGAGAGCCATTGCCAGTTTCCTTAAAAGGGACTGAACTACATGGAGCAAGGGTCTGAGTAAAAGACTGCTTCCTATGTTCTTGCCTGGATAGCTCAGTTGGTTAGAGCGTGGTGCTGATAAGACCGAGGTTGCAGGTTTGATCCCCGTATGGGAACTCTGAGGCCTTGTTTGCCTCGTACAGTTAAAGCAGCATTCTAACTTTATAATAATAATAATAATAATAATTTTTATTTGTACCCCGCCCTCCCCAGCCAAGACCGGGCTCAGGGCGGCAAACAACCAATAATAAAAACAAGTTGATTAAAATACAATTTAAAAGATTAAGATACAACATTAAAACATTAGGGTGCAATCTCTTCATAGGAGGAGAAAGGAAAAAGAAAGAGGGGGAGGGAATCAAACTGATTTCAAGCCAAACTCCAGGTGGAATAACTCTGTCTTACAGGCCCTGCGGAAAGAAATCAGATCCCGCAGGGCCCTGGTCTCATGAGACAGAGCAATCCACCAGCCCGGAGCCAGTGTTGAGAAGGCCCTGGCTCTGGTTGAGGCTAATCTAACTTCCTTAGGGCCTGGGACCACTAGGGTGTTGCTATATATGGACCTTAAGGTCCTCCGTGGGGCATACCATGATCTTATGAAAAGATCATGGCTTCCCCCAAAGCATCCTGGGAGCTGTAGTTTGTTCCGGGTGCTGAGCTACAACTCCCAGGGTTCCCAGAGAAGAGGGATGGATTCTTAAACCACGCTGGGTATTGCAGTTCTGTGAGGGCTCTTTAAAGTGGCGTTATGGGCCCCATCTGCACTATACACCTAAACAACTATCATACCTCTTTAAGCAGCCCCTTTTCATAGAATTGTAGAGTTCAAGGGATCCCGAGGGTCATCTAGTCCAACCCCCCAAATGGTGGGGCTCGAACCCAGGACCCTGAGATTAAGGAGTCTCATCTCTACCGACTTGGAAAAAGCCAGTGTGCTGTAGTGGTTAAGAGCGGTGGACTCGTAATCTGGGTGAACTGGGTTCGCTTCCCTGCTCCTCCACATGCAGCTGCTGGGTGACCTTGGGCCAGTCACACTTCTTTGAAGTCTCTCAGCCCCACTCACCTCACAGAGTTTGTTGGGGGGGAGGAAGGGAAAGGAGACTGTTAGCCCCTTTGAGACTCCTTCCGGTAGTAATATCAAATCCAAACTCTTCTCTTGTCTGTAGCCTCAGAGAACTGCTGCCAGCCAGTGTTGACAGTACTGAACTAGGTAGACTAGTGGTCTGACTCAGTAGAGGTTTCAGTTAATTGGCAAGAATGACTAATATATGTAGATCTATTAGGTCAGGTGTGGGGGACCCTTTGCTGTTCCAGATATTGCTGAACCAGCTCCCGCCGGTGTGTGTCTTTCTAAATTATTATTATCCGCTTGGTTCTTTGCTCTGAAGGCCCTGTCGATGCTGTGAACTTCACGGAATGCTGTGAAACGTTATAAAAAACATGGTAGATAAGTGAAATAAAAAGTTGTTTGTTTGTTTTTAAAAAAGAAGCCTATCTCTCTGTTTCTTTTTTTATATATAATAATTTTTATTAACAGACCAATCACATCAGATTATCACATTGATTCCAAATTATACAGCCAAATTTTAAATTTTATATCAAGCTCAGCTCGAGTCCAAAACAGCATCACTTATCTTACTGCATTAATTAGACAGTTCTTTCCAGTTTGATCCGGAAAGTCCTTTGTTACTTCTTTTCTCTTCTTGTTGTTATCATAAATTCCCTTCTTTGCGATCTCTGATGATTTTCACAAGCAGGTTAACAGCTGGCATTCTATGTGGATTTTGTACTTTTCCAAAAATCATATCGATCCAGGACAGCCTCTGTACAACGCTTCCATAAACAAAATTAATCTCCGATCTGTCCTTTATTTTTCTCAGGCTTACCAAATAACAAATGAGTCTGGGGGTTCTGTCAGGTCAAACTTACATTCCCTCATTCCTTCTCTTTCAAACAATCCTGATTCTCCTCCCCTAGTCCTTCTTCCTCGGCAAACCTGTCATGACGAGACGCCATTTTTTAACTGCGCCATAAAAATTTTCTTCTTTTCTCACCGTTCTGCAGTCTTCTTTCCTTATACTCTGTCCCGCATAGTTCTTAAAATCCTGCCTGTGATTCATAGAAACGCGACGATCTTGTTTCTGCCTGGGGTGAAGGGTTATTAATATCACATCGTGCCCTATCTCTCTGTTTCTTTGCTCAGCAGCCGAGATATAAGTGGATGAGGAAGATCCTGCATTTTTGCTTTGTTTTTAATTTATTTATTTGTGTGTAAACATGCATAAGAACACGAGAAGAGCCTGGCTGGATTAGACTAGTGATATTATTATTATTATTATTATTATTATTATTATTATTATTAGGCTTCCATCTGACTGGGTTGCCCCAAACACAGTAAAATGTCAAACATGCATGTGGGAAATTACAAGCTGGATCTGAGTGCAACAGCACTCTGCCCACCTGTGATTCCTAACAACCGGCAGTTATAGAATCATGGAATTGGGGGACCCCAGAGATCATCTAGTCCAACCCCCGTCTCTGACTAGAGAAGCCGAGTTTAGCCATCTTGGGCAATAGCCACTGATAGCCTTAATCTCCTCCACCAATTTGCCCAGTGCAGTGTTACAACTGTTCCACACAGTGGTGGTAATCAGTGGCTCCTGTGGAAGTGAGTTCCACAGTTTAACTGCACGAAGAAGTTTGTTCTTTTGTCTGGACCGAATCCTTGAGTATTCAGCTTCAGGGAATACTCCACGAGCTCAGGCAGGGAGACACGTGATGTCGATTTATGAAATTATGTAAGTTAATGGCAAGTGTTTCAACACTTTCTTCAGCTAAAGGGCCACATGACAGGGGAGGCAGAGGAGAGAGCGGAGGCTGTATGCAGAAACAAGCCTGCTGCACAAAGGTAAAATTTGCTTTTGTAATTATTATTATTATTATTATTATTATTATTATTATTATTATTATTATTATTTATACCCCGCCCTCCCCAGCCAAGACCGGGCTCAGGGCGGCTAACACCAAATATAAAAACAATTGATTGAAATACAGCTTAAAAAACAATATTAAAATACAACATCAAAACATTAAAATGCAGCCTCATTTCAGCAGAAATGCAATCAAAAACTTTTCTGGGGATAAAAAGTCAAGTCTTCACCAAGGCTAACTATCCAGACTGGTCCTCCATGGGCCAGAAAAAAGCCAGGGAAGTCCCCAAATAGGAGTTCCAACACAGAAGGAGAAAGGAAAAAAGAAAGAGGGGGAGGGAATCAAATTGGCTCCAAGCCAAAGGCCAGGCGGAACAACTCTGTCTTACAGGCCCTGCGGAAAGAAATCAGATCCTGCAGGGCCCTGGTCTCATGAGGCAGAGCGTTCCACCAGACCGGAGCCAGTGTTAAGAAGGCCCTGGCTCTGGTTGACGCTAATCTGACTTCCTTAGGGCCTAGGACCTCTGTTGTTGTGGTTTAGTTGTTTAGTCATCTCTGACTCTGCGTGACCCCATAGACCAGGCACTCCTGTCTTCCACTGCTTCCCGCAGTTTGGTCAAATTCATGTTCATAGCTTTGAGAACACTGTCCAACCATCTCGTCTTCTGTCGTCCCCTTCTCCTTGGGCCCTCCATCTTTCCCAACATCAGGGTCTTTTCCAGGGAGTCTTCTCTTCTCATGAGGTGGCCAAAGTATTGGAGCCTCAGCTTCACGATCTGGCCTTCCAGTGAGCACTCAGGGCTGATTTCCTTAAGAATGGAGAAGTTTCATCTTCTTGCAGTCCATGGGACTCTCAAGAGTCTCCTCCAGCACCAAAATTCAAAAGCATCCATTCTTTGGCGATCAGCCTTCTTTATGGTCCACCTTCCATACATCACTACTGGGAAAACCATAGCTTTAACTATACAGACCTTTGTTTGCAAGGCGATGTCTCTGCTTTTTAAGATGCTTTTAAAGATGCTGGGACCTCTAGGGTGTTGCTATTTATGGCCCTTAAGTTCCTCCATGGGGCATACCGGGAGAGGCGGTCCCGTAGTTACGAGGGTCCTAGCTCCCACCAGGGTCCTCTGGCCCTTCCCACCACTGACATGGTGCAGGAGGGAAGAAAACCCAGAAGGTCCCAGATTCAATCCAAGAGCATCGGAAGAGCCTGGCTGCAGGATCAGGCCGAAGGGGAGCCCTCTAGTCGTAGAATCAGAGAATGGTAGAGTTGGAAGGGATCCAAGGGTCATCTAGTCCAACCCTCTGCAATGCAGGAATTTCAACATGTGGCTCCATAGTCATTGCGGCTAGGAGTAGCCGTGGACAGCCTTTGTCCAATCCTCTTACAAGTTACCCACATTGGTGGCCTTCTGTTGATGCCTCAAGTGGGAGGGAGTTCCGTAGTTTTATCTACATGCTGCATTCTTTCGTCTCCGCTGAATGTTCCAACATTCAGCTCCATTGCATTTCTCTGCGTTCTAGAATTATGAGAGGGAGGGAAAATTCACTTTGCCTGCACCCCATTCTTAACGTTTATACGCCTCTCTCATGACCCTCTCCGTCCCTTGCTCACCTGTTCTCTAAACTTACAAAAGATCCAAATGTCATAAGATTTCCTCTCTCTCTCTATAGGGGATTTCCTCTTCTTTCTTTAAATTTATAGGACTATTTCTAAATTAGCAACTCATTAAAAAAATAATAATCCTCTAAATATTTATTTCTTTTTTAAATAAAGGGGATGGAAAAAGTAGCGACTAGAAAAAATGAACATGTTACGTTGTTGAAATCTAGAAAATAATAATAATAAAATGCTGATGATAAAAATGGGGATCCAGGAGGTGTTTTCTTTCTTTAAAAAAGAGTTTTTTAAAAAATGAATAAAAAATAAGTTTTTTAAAAAATAGTAATAATAATAATAATAATATTGTTGGAAAGGGGATTTGTATATGTAGTTAAAAAGGATATTACTGGTGAGGGTACCTGGGTCAAGGCTAAGGCCACATTACAATTCTTCAAAAAAATTAATAAATAATGAATAATGAATAAATAAATAAAAGAATCTTAGTCTTAGGATTCCTGTGACACTCGTCAATCTGCCTCGCCACAAAGCCCCCCTTGTCTTTTCCACTTCAATAGCTGCAGCCTGTATAGTTTATTTTTGGCATTTTCTGTTTCACACGCAATAACTGAAAGAACGGAACAGAAAACACAAGAGAGACATAAAGTCCCCGTCCCCCGCTTTTGGGGATCCTCATATGATGCTTTCCCCTCTGCATCTCCTTCTCCATTATTACAAATCCTTCGACAATCCATACTTCCGAATTATTACAACAGGCTTTCTATCAAGCCTACTGATGAATGTGATTGTTTGCAACCATTTCCCAAATACTGCACATTAGAACCTTCCCCTGTTCTTTATTAAATTGTGCCTCTTCCTGGTTTCTAATTCTTCCTGTAGGGTTGTTTTACCATTTCAGCGTAAGCTCGTCAGTTTTATAGCTGCAGCCTGTGCAGAAAGGGAAGAGGGATTATTTGGGGGGGTTAAATCTGGAAAGAGGCTCTTCTCCTAGAGAGGATGCGGAGCGCGCCCAAGAGAGGAAGTTGGAAGCGCGTCTTGGTGCGCTCCTGCCCCGCTTTTCCCACCCCGCCAGTGCAAAGGGTAGAAGGGGGTGGGGGCTCCATCCTGCACCGCTTCCTCGTGGGTCGACTCTCCTGCGTTGCTCCTCTAAATGTGAATGCGGCTGCTGCCTGCCTGCTTTGATTTCTCTTCGGGCGCCACGGGGTCAAGGCGGGTGAGTTTTGGCTCAAGCGCCTTTGCGCATCTCTCAGCCGCGCGTCCTTTGGTTGCTGCAGGCGGATAGAGAGGGGACCAAATCCCCTTTCCGTCTGGTGTCGCAGACCTGGGGGCTGGGTGTGTTTGGAGACTGGAGAGAGGAGCGCCTGAGTGCAGAAGGTCAGGAACAGAGAAAGCAGCCCCTCCTGGAAAGGCAGAAGCAGACCCCTGCTCCATTTAGCTCAGCGTTGACTAGAGACTGACTGAAAGTCTCCAGGGTTTTGGGCAGGGGGCATTCCCAGAGCCATTTGGTGTGGTTGAACCCGAAACTTTCTGCATGCAAGGCAGATGCTCTACCACTGAGTCATGTGTGGGATTTGGGTGGCGCTGTGGTCTAAACCACTGAGCTTCTTGGGCTTGTGGATCAGAAGGTCGGCAGTTCGATTCCACGTGACGGAGTGAGTTCCCGTTGTTCTGTCCCAGCTCCTGTCAACCCAGCAGTTTGAAAGCACATCAGTGCAAGTAGATAAATAGGTACCACTGTGGCGGGAAGGTAAATGGTGTTTCAGTGCGCTCTGGTGTTCCGTCACAGTCCACAGAACCACAGAAGTCGTTAGTCATGCTGGCCGCAGGACCCAGAAAGCTGTTTGTGGACAAACGCCCTCGGCCTGAAAGCGAGATGAGCGCCGCAGCCACATAGTCACATTTGACTGGACTTAACCATCCAGGGGTCCTTTACCTTTTACTTAAGGTAAAGGGACCCCTGACCATTAGGTCCAGTCGTGGCCGACTCTGGGGTTGCGGCGCTCGTCTCACTTTACTGGCAAGGGAGCCGGCGTACAGCTTCCGGGTCATGTGGCCAGCATGACTAAGCCGCTTCTGGCAAACCAGAGCAGCGCACGGAAACGCCGTTTACCTTCCCGCCGGAGCAGTACCTATTTATCTACTTGCACTTTGAGGTGCTTTCGAACTGCTAGGTTGGCAGGAGCAGGGACCAAGCAACGGGAGCTCACCCCGTAGCAGGGATTTGAACCGCCGACCTTCTGATCGGCAAGCCCTAGGCTCTGTGGATTAACCCACAGCGCCACCCGTGTCCCCTACCTTTTACTTACCACTGAGTTATGTCCCCTTCCCAAGGAGGGGAATAAAAAAGGGGTGGTGTTTGGGCGGGTGAGAGGCTTGGGGATGCAAATACAGTGGTACCTCTGGTTACAAGCTTAATTCGTTCTGCAGGTCCGTTCTTAACTTGAAACCGCTCTTAACCTGAGTTACCACTTTAGCTAACGGGGCCTCCCGCTGCTGCCGTGCTGCCAGCGCGCAATTTCTGTTCTCATCCTGAGGTAAAGTTCTTAACCTGAGGTACTACTTCCGGGTTAGCAGAGTCTGTAACCCAAAGTGTTTGTAACCTGAGGTACTAATGTAGAGGAAAAGTGGTCCCATGTCACGATTATGATTATCATTGAATCACCTTTTGCATCTGGCTCTGTAGAAGGCAGTTTCCTGCGTTCATATGATTTGGCAAAGAATCATAGAACTGGGGAGTTGGAAGGGACCCGAAGGTCATCTAGTCCAACCCTCTGCAATGCAGGAATTTCAACGAAAGCATTCATGACAGATGGCTATCCAAGCTCTGCTTTAAAATCTCCAAGGAAGGCGAATCCACCACCTCCCAAGGGAGTCCGTTCCACTGTCAAACAGCTCTGGTTTGCGTCCTGACCTCCGGAACAGGAGAAAAAAAGCCTGCTCTATCTTCCATGTTCAGTCCCCAAAGGGGAAAACATTGGCTGTTTTTACCAAGAGAGATGCTGAAAGGAAAAACAAGAAGAAACATTTCCATATGTGCTGTTAAATTCTGCCTTTCTGTCTCTTCTTTTCCCTCAGGGACACCGGCTGCCTTCTTGCAAGTTCCATCTCTGTTCCCTGCGACGCGATGTGTTTCTATAGATTGCCCTGTTTTGTTCGAGGGCAGCCAGAAGATGGAATTATTCCTCTGTGAAAATAGTACGTGAAAATTGCGAGGTAAATAGTAGCCACATGGAGACGAGGCCATTGTTTCCCTGAGAGTCAAAATGGCGGTCAGTCGGGAGGCCGGAGGAATCCTTGGCCTCCACTTCCAGGCTGAGTTAGAGCAGGGAATGCAGACCAGGATAAAAATGGAGGAACAAGACCCAGGGGGATTTGAACTCGGAGCAGAGTCTGTGAGGGGGGGAAAGCCCTCTTGTGATCTTGAGGCCAGCAACAACCTGGATTTTCCAAACTGGCAGATGCCGGAGCCATTTAAAGAAGAACCAGGCGACAAAAGGACTCTGCCATGTTCAGGGTCTCAGGAGCTCCTCAAAGCAGTGAGATGTTTCCACTCAGGATGGGAAAGCCCAGAACTCTGTGGCGTAACACAAAGGCTTTTCCGACCTCCTTGGATGGCATGGCAAACGCTAACCCGTGGCCCCAAGGCGTGCCAAACTTCCTTGGAGCGTTACCACAGGAATATGGGGATTTGGACGCCAGAAATGGGGAAGACTATTGGAAGGCGAGAGATGAGACCCGAGGAAGTGAGTCTGCCACCCTGGACATGCAGCGGAAACTCTTCAGGGAATTCCACTACCAGGACGCTGAGTGCCCCCGCAAGGCCTGCAGCCGCCTGTGGCATCTTTGCCATCACTGGCTGAAGCCGGAGAGGTCCTCCAAAGAGCGGATCCTGGAGCTGCTGATCCTGGAGCAGTTCCTGGCCATCCTGCCCCTGGAGATGCAGAGCTGGGTCAAAGATGGCTGCCCAGAGACCTGCGCCCAGGCGGTGGCTTTGGCCAAGGACTTCCTGGTGAGGCAAAGAGAGGCTGAGGAACCAAAACAGCAGGTGAGGGCGCTTTGTCAGGATGTCCCAGAGTTTGCGGGCCCTGGGGGCTGGGGCTAATTTGGAACTGACAGGGTGGAAAGCAGGGAGGCCACCAGTAGGAGGAGCCAGAGCCAAGTAGTCCACTTTCAGAGCATCCATTTAAACAGCCATTACTTCCCCCAGAGAATTCTGGGAGCTGAAGTTTGTTGGGAGTGGTTAACCGTTAAGATATCCAATTCCCTTCACAAAGCTACAATTCCCAGTGTTTCCTGGGAAGAGGGATGGGTGAGTGTTAAAATCTTCTGGGAACTGTAGCGGCTGGAAGGGAAACGGCCTTGGCCCAGTATACCTGAAGGCGCATCTCCACCCCCATCGTTCAGCCACTGAGGTCCAGCGCCGAGGGCCTTTTGACAGTTACCTCCCTGCGAGAAGTGAGGTTACAGGGAACTTCTTGGTGGTGGTGCCTGCCCTGTGGAATGCCCTCCCACCAGATGTCAAGGAAATAAACAACTATCTGACTTTTAGAAGACATCTGAAAGCAGCCCTGTTTAGGGAAGTTTTTAATGTGTGATGTTTTACCATGTTTTTAATGTTCTGTTGGGAGCTGCCCAGTGTGGCTGGGGAAACCCAGCCAGGTGGGCAAGATATAAATATATTATTATTATTATTATTATTATTATTATTATTATTAAATGGGGGTCATTCCTATGGAGAGGCCAGAGATCCCCCACTCCTCCGTTAGTCCATGCTTGTTATTATTATTATTATTATTATTAATAGTAATAATGAATTTTACATCAGCCAACATGCAGTACTAGTGCTGAACCAACCCTTTTGCTGCATTATACGTTATGCTTCTTTGCCATTTCAGGGGCTGCCGCTGTCGGGAGGCAGGGCTTTGAATTGCACTCCGGCAACAGGGATGACATCGGGGGCTGGACGGATGCCGGTGGGCTCAGAGGCTAAAGAGGAGGTGGGAGGACCAGGGCTGCGCCAGCATGCTAGGTGAGGTTTTTCTGAATTCCTTGAAAGCACTGGTTTTTATTATTATGGAGGGGGTAGGCCATCTGTCTGTAAAAAAACCAACAACATGCATCTCCTCTTTGTCACCAAAAAATCCTCAAACATTGTAGTTTATCCTTGTAGGGGAAATGCTTCGATTCCCTGATCACACCTGCCCTGTACTTTTCCCAGCTCTGCAATATACCCTTTTTGAGGGACCAAAACCGTAGATGGAACTCCAAATGCATCTGCAGCTGATGGAAGTTCTGAATATTTTGTTTCTGCAGGTGATGGACGGGTGACTGAGAACAAGGAGGAGACTCCTCTGACGGAAAATCCTGATTGTTTGCCGCCTCCAAGCCAAAAAGGTGGGCGCCCTGAGAGGCGAAGGGGAAATCATCTGGGAGGGAGTGCTGCACATTCTGTCCTTCATGCCAGAAGGAAGGAGGCGTTGGAGGAAAACACCCACAAAGACGATAAACGACACAAGTGTGCAGTGTGCAGACGAGGGTTCAGTCGGCCCACGGGTCTCACCGCGCATCAGCGGATCCACACAGGCGAGAAACCCTACAAGTGCGTGGAGTGTGGGAAAAGCTTCAGTTTGAAGTCAACCCTCGTGGCCCACGCAAGGACCCACACGGGCGAGAAGCCGTACACCTGCACGCACTGCGGGAAAAGCTTCGCTGTGAGCTCGGACCTCACTCGACACTACCGGACCCACACGGGAGAGAAACCCTACAAGTGCTCAGAGTGCGGGAAGTGCTTCCGGCAGAGCTCCTCGTTCAGCAGCCACCTGAGGATCCACATGGGAGAACAGCCGTTCCGGTGTTCGTGCTGCGGGAAGAGCTTCGCCATGTGCTCGTACCTCACCAAACATTACCGGACCCACACCAGAGAGAAGCCGTACAAATGCTCGGACTGCGGGCGCCGGTTCCGGCAACACTCCTCTTTCGCCAACCACCTGAAAAGCCACCGGGGAGAGCTGCCTTTCAAATGCTCCGACTGTGGGAAATCCTTCAGCGTGAGCACGTTCCTGATCAGACACGAGAGAATCCACACGGGGGGAAAGCCCTACCGGTGCCCGGATTGCGGGAGGAGCTTCGGGCACAACTCTCAGCTCATTTCGCACCGGCGCGTTCACACGGGGGAGAAGCCGTACAAGTGTCCTGAGTGCGGGAAAAGGTTTACCGCTAGCTCTCTCCTCCGGGGACACCAGAGAATCCACACCGGTGAGAAACCGTACAGCTGCGGGGTTTGCGGAAAGACGTTCAGCCTGAGGTCCAACTTCCGCAGGCATCAGAGCACTTACACGGGGGAGAAGCCGTTTAAGTGCTTAGCCTGTGGGAAAAGCTTCATTACGAGTTCAGATCTTCTTGCACACAAGAGAACCCACGCAGGAAATAATAAATAAATAAATAAATAAGTTTTATTTATACCCCACCCTTCCCTGTTTAAAAACCGGGCTCAGGGCAGCTAACAGCAAATATAAAACACTGATTAAAATGTGACTTAAAAACAGCAGAAAACACAACATAAAATGCAGCATCAATATCAATAAAATTCAAAAATTCAGGAGTCATTTTAGGAAAAACAAAAAACAAAACCCCAGTCAGTAGACATCAAATGATCACCAGGGCTAACTGGCCAAGTTGGTCCTACTACGGCCAGCAAGGAGACCAGGGAAGAATTTAAATGTGGGGTCCCAGAAGGGGTTTCTTCATAGAAGAGGAAAGGGAAAAGGGAATAGAGGATCAGGGAATAGAGGATCAATTGTAGATATGCACCAGGAGGTGGGCTTATGATCTTAATACAGTGGTACCCTTGGTTTTTGGACGTCTCCATTGCTGAATGTTTCGGTTTTCGAACGCTGAAAACCCAGAAGTAGATGCTTCCGTTTTCGAACGCACCTCGGAAGTCAAACGGCTTCTGCTGCATGTATCTGTTTTTCACAATTTTCTCTGTTGAATTGGCAGGCCGCCCTTTGCGCCTCGGTTTTCGAACATTTCGGAACTCGAACGGTCTTCCAGAACAGATTACGTTCAAAAACCAAGGTACCACTGTATTGTTCAGAGCTTACGGGTAGCAGAAAGGTGATAACTACTTCCCCAAGTTGGTGTGTGTGGCATTCGAACGGAGCCCCCGGTCGTCTCACGGACTATTCACCCGTACACCACTAATCCGCTCCCACCAGCCAGGTCCTCCCCGGTAAAATCACTTCAGCCTCAGTCAGGTTTTCAATTAGTAAAGAAGAGTGTATTTTATTTCAGACACAAACAAACTTTTCTGGCATTCCAAACGTTGTTACTCTTTACTTTCTTAGTCTTATTTTCCTCTCTCTATCTCTTCTACCTCCCCTCACTCAAGAACCCACTGCCCTAACTGTCTCTCTGTTTCCAACTGCCTGCCAACTGCTTCCTCCAACTGCCTTTCCCAACCAGCCAACCCACTAAAACCAACCAACTACCCACCAACAGCTCCCAACAACAACGAACTCAAACCTGGGGCTAAGCCCTTTTATACACAGGTAGGCTCCGCCTCCCTCCGGCTTTCCTATTGGTCTATATTTTTAACCCTATCTCTCCCTGTACAGACAGCCTTTAAAGGAAATGGGCAAACACCACAGTGGGTTGTTGAGTTCTTTCCCCTTCTGAGAAAGGGGCTGTAACTGGTTGCTTCCAAGCACATGGCTAGTAGGAGGCTCAGAAAAGCACTTTGCTACTAGCAGATTCACGGGCCTGGAGATTGGCAACAAAGACGATGAGTAATTTCTTCTGAAGTAGCACTTTGTGTTAACGCTTTGGCCCCTAGGATTGCCTGTTTAGTTTGTGCTGTGAAGAGCTGGGTAGCTCAGTTGGCTAGAGTGTGGTGCTGATAATCCCAAGGTTGCAGGTTTGATCCCCATAAGGGACTGCTGCAAATTCTTGCATTGCAGGGGGTTGGACTAGATCCGCAGGGTCCCTTCCAACCATAGCTGTCAACGTTTCCCTTTTTTAAAGGGAAATTCCCTTATTCCGAATAGGATTCCTTGCAAGAAAAGGGAAAAGTTGACAGCTATGCTTCCAACTCTGTAATTCTATGAGTTTACTTGATGGAGAGGTTTAGGTGTGCATTCTGCTGAATCACTGGATGAAAGAGCTTATACAGTGGTGCCTCGCAAGACGAAAGAATCCGTTCTGTGATTCTCTTCGTCTAGCGGTTTTTTCGTCTTGCGAAGCAAGGCCATTGACAGATTAGCGGATTAGCACTATTAGCGGCTTTTAGCGGCTTATCTGCTGATCGGATCAGCTGATAAGCGGATTAGCGGCTTAGAAAAGGGGGGGGAGGGGAAAAAACCCGCAGGAAACTCGCAAGACATTTTCGTCTTGCGAAGCAAGCCCATAGGAGATTCGTTTTGCGAAGCACCTCCAAAACGGAAAACTCTTTCGTCTAGCGAGTTTTCCATCTTGCGAGGCATTCATCTTGCGGGGTACCACTGTATTGGCATTTGCTCTGGCCAGCTCCATTCAAGGTTTGAGCTTCACAAAGGAAAATTTATGGGTAACTGAACCCTGACTTTAAAAGGCTGCATAAACCATTGTGTCAGAAATGAACCCAGGTGAGGCTCAGGCTGTGTCCATAAGAGGAGAACCAGGATCAGGCCAGTGGTCCATCTCATCCAGCAGCCACAGAGTTTCCCTGGGAAGAGAGACTGAGCGTTAAACCACCCTTTTTTCCCCTTTTTCTAAATTTTATTTGTATTCCGCCCTCTCTGGCCAGAGCCGGGCTCACAGCGGGTAACGTCATATAAATAAGACAATATGCATAAAACAAGATACAATATGCAAATAAAATAACATTCAACATTCATTAAAATAATACAGAATAATATTAAATACCAGCATTTCAAGATTAAACAGAAATCCACTCTTAACAGTTACAATAAGTAATTTCTAAACTCCAGTCAATAAAACAACAGCAAGCCACAGTAATATTAATAATATTAATAATAATAATAATAATAATAATATAATAATAATTTTTATTTATACCCCGGCCTCCCCAGCCAAGGCCGGGCTCAGGGCGGCTAACAAGCAATAATAAAAACAAGTTGAATGAATACAACTTAAAAACAAGATTAAAATACAACATTAAAATATTAAAATGTAGCCTCATCGCAGGAGGAGAAGGAAAGGAAAAAAGAAAGAGAGGGAGGGAATCAAATTGGCTCCAAGCCAAAGGCCAGGCGGAGCAACTCTTACAGGCCCTGCGGAAAGAAATCAGATCCTGCAGGGCCCTGGTCTCATGAGACAGAGCGTTCCACCAAGCCGGAGCCAGTGCTGAAAAGGCCCTGGCTCTGGTTGAGGCTAATCTAACTTCCTTAGGGCCCAAGACCTCTAGGGTGTTGCTATTTATGGACCTTGAGGCTCTCCGTGGGGCATACTGGGAGAGGCGGTCCCGTAGGTACGAGGGTCTTAGGCCGTACACAACATAATACAATACAAAATGAGAAGCAGAGACTGGAGGGGGGAGCAAGGCAGGTGGAAGGAGGCCTTGCCTGGTGGAGTCTCTCCCCTCACCCTGGGAACTGTAGCTCTGTGGGGGGAATAAGGGGACTCCGAACAACTCTCAGCACCCTCAGCAAACCACAGTTCCCAGGATTCCTCTTGGAGAAACCATGACTCAACAGTGTGATGCTGCTTTAATGGTACGGTGTAGCTGGAGCTTTGAATTTGTTTTTAGATGTTTCCTTTTTAGATTTTTTTAAATAAAAAAAACCAGTTTTAAATATGTTTTTTATTTTCTGTTTTATCACAGAAGTGTTTGCCTCCCTGGGCTCCTCTGGGAGGAAGGAAGTACTAGTAAATAAAATAAATCAAAAAGAGGGCCCTGTGTTGGCTATTATTTATTTATTTTAAAAAATCTGTATACCACTGTGTCATTCATATATATATTACATACAGTGGAACCTCGGTTTTTGAACGTAATCTGTTCTGGAAGACTGTTCGACTTTTGAAATGTTCGAAAACCCAGGAGAAATGGGTGGTTGGCAAAATCCATTGAAAGAATGGAAAAACATGCAGCGGAAGCCGTTTGACTTCCGAGGCGCGTTTGAAAAGGGAAGCAATTACTTCCGGGTTTTCAGTGTTTGGCTTCCAAAACGTTCGGCTTCCGAGATGCTCGAAAACCGAGGAAGCCATTCCTCTTACATCCTCCTGAGTAAGGGCTGCTGCTGTGGTGTTTTGGTGACAAGAGCCTGACAAAAACATCTGGAAGTCACCAGCTTGAGGAAGGCTGGCCTAAGCCATTTCGGGCTTACAAGGTCGGTAGCAACACTACCGTATTTTGAATTATGATTGGAAACTAATTGGTAACTAGGACAAGTGTAGGGTGAAGCGGTGAACAATTTTAGACCTCTGTGTTTGCACAGGTTTTTTTTAAAAGACAGCCATGTACAGTGGTACCTCAGGTTACAGACGCTTCAGGTTACAGACTTCGCTAACCCAGAAATATTACCTCGGATTAAGAACTTTGCTTCAGGATGAGAACAGAAATCGTGCTGCAGCGGTGCAGCGGCAGCAAGAGGCCCCATTAGCTGAAGTGGTGCTTCAGGATAAGAACAGTTTTCAGGTTAAGAACAGACCTACAGAACGAATTAAGTTCTTAACCCGAGGTACCACTGTATATAGAGACGCGGGTGGCGCTGTGGGTTAAACCACAGAGCCTAGGACTTGCCAATCAGAAGGTCGGTGGTTCGAATCCCCTCGACAGGGTGAGCTCCCATTGTTCGGTCCCTGCTCCTGCCAACCTAGCAGTTCGAAAGCACGTCAAAGTGCAAGTAGATAAATAGGTACCACTCTGGCGGGAAGGTAAACGGCGCTTCCATGCGCTGCTCTGGTTCGCCAGAAGCGGCTTAGTCATGCTGGCCACATGACCCGGAAGCTGTACGCTGGCTCCCTCGGCCAGTAAAGTGAGATGAGCGCCGCAACCCCAGAGTCGGTCACGACTGGACCTAATGGTCAGGGGTCCCTTTTTACCTTTACCACTGTATATTATTTTGAGTTTTGGACAGTGCTTTCAATGAACTAATTCGGTTTAAGGGGAGAAGGGTGGGCTAATAATAATAATAATAATAATAATAATAATAATAGAGTCAGACCATTAGTTGATCTAGCTGAATTGTTGTTAGCATTCGTCTGTCTAGGGGACAAGGGAGGAGTGAGCCCGAAAATGAGAGTACATTGGTACCTTAGGTTAAGAACTTAATTTGTTCTGGAGGTCCGTTCTTAACGTGAAACTGTTCTTAACCTGAGGTACCACTTTATCAAGTCATTGATATTTTAAATGAATATTCTAAAATGTAAAACAGAAAATTTAATAAAAATTGACAGTGAGAGAGAGAAATCTGAAGGTAGCCCTGTATAGGAAAGCTTTTTTTAATGTTTATGTTTTATTATGTTTCTATATAGGTTGGAAGCCGGTTGGAGTGGCTGGGGCAATAAATAACATCACCCTCATCATTCCTGTTATTATTATCATTATTATTGAAAGGACGTCCCTATTTTCATTGGAGAAATCTTGGAGAGCATGTATCAAGTGGCTGGGAATCCCAAGCATGGAGAGCTCTGCTGTGCTTGGCTCTGGCTTTTAGCTTCTGCACTTAAGTGGGCCTGATCCAGTTACCCTTTGGCCCGATCCGGCTGCCAGGCTCCTCTTAGCCTCTCCATTCACAGCCACCCCAACTTCTGCAGGCTCTGAGACGCTTCCTTGTGCCACCTGCGGAACTACCCGCCTCCCTCTCCTCCCCGCGCGCAAAGGACCAAGTTCCCTGCCAGGCAGCAGTTCGAAAGGTGCAGCTCCTCCCGCAGGATGGCGGCGTGCCAGCCAGCCTTCCTACCCGGAATGGAGCTTTTCTTCTTCTCCTTCTTCTCCTCCTTCTCCTCTCCCCCTCTCCTCCTCCTCCCCCTTTGCAATCCTGACCCCTAAAGAAGTGCAGTTCCTTTTCCTCCTATGGCCGGGCTCCTGAACAGCCACATCATTCTTTTGTTCTCAGGTGGGAAAGCAAAAAAACACACACCAAAAAAACCGCTGGAAGCAGGTAACTGGGGTCAGGTTGCAAAATGTGTGTGCGATTTCTTAAATTTTATGCTTCCGTGTGTTTCTTTTTCCTCCCCTCCGATGAACTCTCCTGGTCTGGAGGGGGAGCGCGGCGCCTTTATTTATTTCTTGGAAAGCTCTACTGAATCGACTTTGTTTTCCAATGAGAGGCATTGTCTGGCTTTTAAATCCCTCCCTTAAAACCCTCTCCTTCCGCCTACTAGATCTTTTCTTCTGCTTTTATTTTTTTTTTAAACATTTCTGCCCTACCCACTGCCGTTTAACCCTCTCTTGGCTTCCCATCCTTTTCTTCCCTTCTTTTTTTCCCTTTTTCTTTTTGCAAACCGCTTTTTAAAGCAACGAATCGCAGCAATTGCGCATCCAGGAGAATCCGCGCGCCACCCGAACGCATTTGGGAGATTTAATCCTTGCGTGGGCGGGGAAAAATAAATACAAATCAGTGGCTTGCAAACAGTAGCTCAACCCGTCCGGTTCCTTGGCGATTGCAATTTATTTTCTTCCCCTTTTTTTTGGCCTTTTCTTACGAGGAGGTGCTGGACGGGTTAAACCGATAGAGGGCTGAGCGTCCCAGAGAGGACGAGAAACTTGAGCTTACAAGAGCCCCTTAATACCCGAGGCCCTTTTCTGATGGGAGGAGAGAAAGGCGCACACATACAGAAAGGGAGGCTGGATTTTTATTTTTTTTAATTCAAAGAAGAGTTTGCATGAAAAATAACAATAATAATTGTTCCGTTGCAATAGGAAACCGCAGATCCTCCGGGGAAAAAATGCATTCGGGAACATGCACGGTGGGTAAAAAGCAGCGTCAAGCCCAGCGAGCTTTGCAAAAAAAAGAAGAGGAAAAAGGGAAAGTTGAACCCCTCCCCGAAAAGCTCCTGATCAAATAAAAGTAGGAGAGAGGGAAGGAGGGGGGAGGGATCCTGAAGCCTCCCTCTCGCCCACCCCCCGGGCTGGGTTTTGTGCGGGTTGATCCCTCTCTCTCTCTCTCCCTCCAAGCATGGCCTCTCTGCTAGGACAATGGCAGAAGCTGCAGCTGATCCCAGATCCAAGGACAAGGCGGAAAGAAAGAGAGAGGATCCCTCGACCCCATAATCCCGCTCCCTTCCTCCCCCACAAAATATAGATGGGGAGAGAGACGCCGATCGCTGCTTCTTCCGCTTTTAAGGCTCTGCAGCCTCTGGAAGAAACGATTGCACCTTTTTAGTGTGTGTGCAAGGTTAGAAAATAGCTTTTTTTTAAGTGTGTCTATGTACAAGTTAAGAGACATCTAAATTCTGATCCAGACCTCATTTGGTTTCCCTCGGCACTCAGTGCAGCCCCCATAAAGGGCTTGTTGTTATTTTATTTTTGTAAACATCCTGTGCAAGGGATTTTTAAAAAATGCTCTGCCTGAAGAAGAAGAAAAAAGCAGGTAAAACTAGCATGTTTAAAGGGGTTAAGATTTTGGGTTAGCCCATCTCTCCCTGATGAATGGGCTGCCGTCCTATCAGAAGCTACAGAGCAGCAAGTCCCACTGAACTCAATAGGCTTACTCCCAGGAAAGTGGGTACAAGGATGAACGCAAGCGCCTTTTCCATGAGACTTCTGCGATAGTCCATTTTAGTCTGCTAGATAACTTTTTAAAAAGTTTTCTCAGTTCATTAACTCTTTCATTGTGCTGTTATTTATTTTGTACATTGTCCGTTTTCTCAGTTTGTTAACTCTTTTCATTCTGCTGTTATTTCTTAAAACATTTCACATCCCCACTCATCGCATCGTTTGGATTTCGAGATGGGACACAGTAGAAAAATTCTTGCACTAAAATGTTAGAAATAGCCATAGATGCGTGAGAGCTCAGAGAAAATGCTTCCCCCAACCCCGTCAAAGCTATTTTAAGTCAAATGCAAATGAATGTTGGTTTAAGGGGGAAATAGATGGATTAATCAGTGATAATATAATGAATCTATTGGTAACCAACCTAATTTTAATGTGTTGCTATGTTGGCCTCTCTCCCAACTTGCAAATAAATGAGTAAAAACATCCTAATAGCCAAAGGCCCATCTAGTCCAATTTCCTGTTCTCACTGGAAACTGGCAAAAAATGTCCTCTCTGGCAGTTAGAACCTCTGTTGCATTCAGAGCCCTTCTGTTTGTGGTCAGATTTAAACCATAATCCAGGGGGCAGGAAGCCTTTTTCAAGCTGAGGGCCGCATTCCATTCTGGGTGACCTCCCGGGGGCCACAAGCCAGTCATGGATAGGGCCAGCAGGAAATGTGGGCAGAGCAATGAATGTAAATTTTACATTTGTGCAGTAAACTTTTAAGTTCCCAAAACCAAGAAGTATTGGAGTTCATGAATGCATTCTAGCCAGGCGAAAAGACTCACAGAGGGTTTGAGGCATGCCTGCGGAGGGAGTGTGGCCTTGGGAGCGACTCAAGGGCCAGGTAGAGAGGTCTAGAGGGCCACATAGGGCCTCTGGCCCTGAGATCGACCCCTCTTCCCGCAAATACTGTCTTGTATTGTGGTGGTTTTAGGAGAGCGCTCTGGGAACTGTAGTTCTGTGAAGGGAATAAAAATCTAGCACCTGTCAGCACCCCTAAGAAACTACAGTTCCCAGGATTCTTTGGGGGAAGCTATGACTGTTTACGGTTTTGATCTATGGGCTACTTTTAAAATGAGGATGCATTTAAAATTGCATTTTAACCTGTATTTTAAATTGGGTTTTTTTCCTATTATGTTTTTACTGTAATTTTACCAGTGTTAGCTGCCCTGAGCCCGGCTCTGGCCAGGGAGGGCAGGATATAAAGAATATTTATTATTTATTATTATTATTATAAAGTGGAATGATAGTGCTTTAAATGAAGAGTGTGGATCGAGCCTGGGAAATATCTCCATTTTGGCTTGTTGGAAGAGGTAAGTCTTCAGTAGGCTCCAAAAAGACTGTCACATTTAAATGGAGGGCATTCCAAAGAGCAGGTACCGCCATACTAAAAGGTGCGGAATGGACCCCTTGATAAGGTGCTATCTGCCGGAGGCTCTCATCAGCCGAGCATAGTGATCGCTTGGGTATATAATATTTAAAAAATATTGTTTTAAGTGTACACACTTAACAGTCAAAACAGTATATTGTTAAAATATTCAACTAAGCATGCAACCTAAACCCAGTAAAACAGTGAAATAAAAATGCAGAATGTGAAATAAAATTCAGAAATTCAGAAGATTCAAACACATTAAACAGGGTCTGATCCTATTGGCCAAGGAAAGCCGGGGTAAAAATAGAAGTCTTTGCAAGACATCTGAAGCCATTAATGGTTTCTGCTTTTGGTGTGGCGATGAAAACAGCATTCCTTGATCTCTCTCTACTTTATACTCTTCATGCTTTGAGGTGTTTTTCCCCCTCCTAAAACCAAGCTGCTCATAAGTTTTATGAAATAAGTGAATAAAATTCCACAGTACAAGACGGATAGCAAAAAAATAATAATCCTGATTTCTGGGCACTGCCCTGCAATATTTTGAAAGGTACAGGACCACAAGTAGGATTTCCCAAGGTGATCTAAGTCAGTCACAATGACGTCATGTGCGAGGAGCTTTGTAGTCCCAAAATTGGGACTCCCAAGCACCATTTAAGTAGGGTTGCCATATTTCAAAAAGTGAAAATCCAAACACGAAAGTTGTTGAGCTGCTTTTAAGGAAATTTGCCAAAATCTACGCTTCTGACATGTGTTGACATATATCCGGATTTCCCCGGAAATTCCAGCGATTTTCTGCCCGGACACTGTTTCCGAAGGCCGAATCCCGGCTATGTCCGAGAAATTCCAGACGTATGGCAACCCTAACTTAAGGCGCTGCTAAATGGGAGGTTTCCCCCCCTCATTGTTTTAGCAGGAGATCCCAGGCAACTGTGCCTAAAATGAAAGAGAAATTCCTCCTGCCCCGACTGCCATTTTAGCAGACGTCCGTCCAGCCTCTGCTTAAATACATCGTCCGTTCCACGCAGTCCTTTTCTTCTAGAAAAGTAGGTGCCGGTACTTCTGCGGTTGAACAGTCCTTACTGTCAGAAAGTCAGAAAGTTATTCCTGATGTTTAGTCAGAATCTCCTTTCTTGTAACTTGAATCCATTGATTCGCGTCCCACCCTGTGGAGCAGAATAAAACAAGCTTGTTCCCTCTTCCATGTGACAGGCCTTTAGGTATTTGAAGATGGCTGTCATATCTCCTCTCAGTCTCCACTTTTCTAGGCTAAATTCCCTCATTAATTCCTTATAGGGCTTGGTTCCTAGACCCTTGATCATCTTGCTTGCCTTCCTCTGCACATCTTCCAGCTTGTCAATATCTTTCTTAAATTCTGCTGTCCAGAACAGGACACAGGACTCCAGGTGCGCTCTGACCAAGATCAAATACAACAGGAATATGATTTCCCTTGATCAGGACACTGGGTCATTCCACGCCAAATCAACTGGTGCCACGTGGTCTCACAACTCAGGTTTTCTTTTAAAAAAAATTATGTGTAGATAACCTCAAATTAATTTTTAAAGATTTTTTTTGGGTCCAAAATTGGGCCCAGAAGAATTTCTTTTTTAATTTCTGCATTAGTTTAGAAAAAAACAGCTGTTTCGCTCATTTTTCAACCAGTTGGGCATATTTTGGTATCAAAATAAAGCTGATTTGGTCTCTGTAAATAAAGGTGTAAAATACAATAGGTTGGGGGATCCCTTGGCTGTTTTTACTGATAATTTTTCTCTGTTAATTTCTGTTTTTCTTCCTTGCTCTTTAGGTAGAAGGCCCTGCCATCAGACATTGATCTCCGTTTGCTTCTGAGGCAAAGACGACCCTATTGCAGCAGCCAGTTTTTCCACAGGTGTAAGTCAGAAGGCGGAGGCCGGACGCATTCCTCTCCCAGAGAAACCCTTCGCGTTTTCAGAGAAGGCCGGCGGGTAGGCTGTCTCAAAATGGCCGCCAAGCGGGGCGCGACTTCGAGCCTCCATTTGCAGGGCGAGCTGGAGCAGGTGGCCCGGCGGCGGAAGAAGATGGAGGTTGAGGAGGACGAACACGAGAACCCCGAGCCAGAGGAAGGCTGGCGGGGGAAAGGAGAGGCCTCCCGCGGCCCCCGAGACAAAGAGGAGAGGCTGCCCAGGGGCCGGACGGCTCATCAGAAGGCCCTCCTCAACGCCGCTCGCTCCCCTCGCGCGGGGTGGAGAAACCCGCCAGCGTCCCGGCCAGCGGAGTGGGAAGACAGGCGAGCCTTTCCGTCCTCCCTCGAGGGGCCGGCAGCGGCCCGCCCGTGGCCCAGGAGCGGACGGGCGTCCCGCCACCAGCAGGGCCTGGCTGGGGAAGGCCCCGAGGCCCACAACAGCCTGGACTCCGGGGAGATTGGCGAATCCGGGGTGGTGAAAGTGAAGGAGGAGGTGTTGGGCGACGACTCGGCCAGCATGGAGATGAAGCGCCAGCGCTTCCGCCAGTTCCGCTACCAGGAGGCCGAGGGCCCCCGTGAGGTTTGCAGCCAGCTCTGGTACCTGTGCCACCGGTGGCTGAAGCCAGAGAGGCACACCAAGGAGCAGATCCTGGAGCTGCTGATCCTGGAGCAGTTCCTGGCCATCCTGCCGCCAGACCTCCAGAGCTGGGTGAGGGAACACGAACCAGAGACGTGCTCCCAGGCGGCCGCTTTGGCCGAGGATTTCCTACAGATGCAGAGGGAGGCGGAGAGAAGGGAGCAGCAGGTGAGACAGATTCATCCTGATCGGCATCTGTGCGCATGCGTGAATGTGCGTTTGGGGAGCAGCAAACATTTGGGGGAGAATACCGATCCTGGCTGGAAGAGCGGGTGGCGCTGTGGTCTAAACCACTGAGCCTCTTGGGCTTGCCGATCAGAAGGTCGGCGGTTCGAATCCCCGCAATGGGGTGAGCTCCCATTGCTCGGTCCCTACTCCTGCCAACCTAGCAGTTCGAAAGCACTCCAAAAGTGCAAGTAGATAAATAGGTACCACTCCAGCGGGAAGGTAAACGGTGTTTCTGTGCGCTCTGGCTTCCGTCACAGTGATCTGTTGCACCCAAAGCAGTTTAATCATGCTGGCCACATGACTCGGAAAGCTGTCTGTGGACAAACACGGGCTCCCTCGGCCTGAAAGCGAGATGAGCATCGCAACTCCAGAGTCTCCTTTGACTGGACTTAACCATCCAGGGGTCCTTTACCTTTACCTTTTCTCTAAAGGTAAAGGTAAAGGTACCCCTGCCCGTACGGGCCAGTCGTGTCCGACTCTAGGATTGTGCGCCCATCTCACTTAAGAGGCCGGGGGCCAGCGCTGTCTGGAGACACTTCCGGGTCACGTGGCCAGCGTGACAAAGCTGCTCTGGCGAGCCGGCACCAGCGCAGCACATGGAAACGCCGTTTAGCTTCCCGCTGATAAGCGGTCCCTATTTATCTACTTGCACTTAAGGGTGCTTTCGAACTGCTAGGTGGGCAGGAGCTGGGACCGAACGACGGGAGCTCACCCCGCCGCGGGGATTCGAACCGCCGACCATGCGATCGGCAAGCCCTAGGCGCTGAGGTTTTACCCACAGTGCCACCCGCATCCCTACCTTTTCTCTACTGGCTGCCAATTAGCTTCTGGTCCCAATTGAAAGTGCTGCTTTTGACCCATAAAGCCTTAAACGGGTCAGGAAAGCAATACCTGAAGGACCGCTTCTCCCCATGTAAACTGTCCCGGATTCTGCAGTCATCCTCTGAGGCCCATCTTCACCAGCCTCCTCCACACTCCACCTGCCCAGGCTACAACCTCATTGCTCATGCTGTGTAGCATCCTTGAGCGTTTCTGCCAGGATGGAGGATAGTGTGTGTGTGTGTGTGTGTGTGTGTGTGTGTAGAAACCAGCCTATTGCGGGGGGGGGGGTTAAAAAAAGAAACACCAAATTTATTTATTTATTAACTTTATTTCATAAAATGTATACACCGCTTGACAGTGAACCACAAACGAACCTAAAAGCAGTTTACAAAAAAATGATCGATATTTTGGTAAGCACAATTAACAATAATAATTTAAGTCTAACAATAGTCTTTTAAAATGTGTTAGGGGGTGTTATGATTGTGTACTTTGCGGTTTTATATTCTGAATTTGTCCTGTGAACCACCTTGAGATCTGCGGGTATAGGGCAGTATATTAATAATAATAATAATAATAATAATAATAATAATAATAATAATAAACTAAAAACAGGTTAAAACTCACACCAGCTTTCTGAGCATCTGGGTAGGCTTGTTTAAACAAAAACATTTCCAGCAGGTCTTCCTTCACTCATAGCCGAGTAAGATTGTCTTCCAAGAACATGGTTTGAACAGTGAGTCTGTAAGTGACACTGGAGGCCAATTCTGGATCCACACATCTTTCCACAGTGGGGACATAGAGTTCTGTGCGGGAGTTGATCATGGCGAGAGTTGGCCAAGCCTCTTAGCATCTTTCTCCCTTTCTTCCTGAGTTTGAGCGTCTTCAAAGCCCAGGACACCTTTGGTAAAGGCTGTTCTCCAATTGGAGCGCTCACAAGCCAGTGTTTCCCAGTTGTCGGTATTTATACTACATTTCTTTAGATTTGCCTTGAGAGAGTCCTTTAACCTCTTTCGCTGACCACCAACATTACGCTTTGCAGCAAAGGCACCTGCCTGTTGTCAAGAGGCAGGGAGTTCCGCAGTGTAGGTGCTGCCACACTAACAGATTGATTTCTTACAAATGCATGATGGGTATCACAAAGCACCCATAAGAGAGCCAGTGCGTCAAATTTCCATTGGTTGCCCCGCCCTCTTTCCCCCTGTGTGAAAAACCCAGTGCCATGTGGCAAGTGGGCAATGCATCCCTCTGGCTGAAAAGGGTTTCCCTGCCCCTACGGTAATTGCAAAAGCCCTGCCCTGAAGAGGGGCTGGGTTGGGCTATCTCCAAGGCTGCTTTCCACTCGAAAATTCCTTGCATTTTTAGAATTTCCCTATATGCTGCTAAGAACGTGTCTGTTTACGAAAGCCTAAACCCAGGCGTACGCAAAGTCTGCTGGGACTGCATCCCGCACTGAGCAGTGGGGCTTTGGCAGAGGGAATTAGATCACCTAGTCCAGATTTATTAAATTTGTATACCTCTCGCTCAGAAAGAAGTATCCCTAAGCGGTGAACAATGGAATTGCACAAAACAGTATGCAGCGTTCAGTGCATTAGAAACAAACGATTCAGTGGTCAAATAAACTAATAATACAAAACGCTTCAGTGAAAGCTCAGTTGAAACAAGAACATTTTTAGCATCTTTCTGCTAGGAAGACTTAATCAGAGACCTGCTGTGATAAGCTTGCAAGGCACTTTGAGGGTAAACCCATGCATATGCACTCTAGACATGACACCATTATTGATTTGAGTCCTTTGGAGGTGTCCAGACCTGGTCTGGCTGTATTAAGATCAATGTTTGTTGATGTGACCTCAAGCGACAGAGCCAAAATGGTGCTTTGCCTGGTTGTACAACAATGCAACACCTCAACCCTCTCTCTGTCTGTCACCGATGGGTTGGACACAGAAGAATGATGGGAAGAATCAGCTGGGGAGCCCCCAAGGGGAGATGGCTCAGAGCCCGGGGTGTAGTGGTGGAGCAACAATGAGTGGTCAGAGGGAGAAGACTGGGAAGAGGAAGGGTCGGAACAGGGCTTAGTGAGTGGGGGGAGTCTGTGGCAGAGAGAAGTCCAGAATCAGGCAGAAGCTGAAGCAGGAGAGGAGGAAGGCCAAGAGGCAGAGATGGGTCAGGCTGGGGAAGAGGCACAGGTGTCTCCCCCTCCTGCTGCCAGAAGCTCCCCTCTGATTCCCAGAACCAAGAGAGGCATGAAAAGGGTGGAGGGAGAAGTAAGCTTCACGCAGGCGTAGTCTCAGATTGCTCACTTTCTCTGTGACCACCTACCCTATCTCTCTGGTTTGGTTTTGGTTATTTGTATAGTTTTTATTAAGTTTTTCTATTTTACATTTTAGAATATTCATTTAAACAACCTTAAAATATCAATGACTTACCTTCTTCTCTTTCCATGGTTCAGTTTGCATGCCATAAGATCCCTGCATATTTTACATAAACTAAACCATTCAGTGTTCCATTTTCACATCCATCCAAACTTATTTACACTGGTGGTTTTTTTGGATACATGAACTTACCCTGCAGTTTTCCCTCTGCAGCTGCACTAATATTCCCCCCACCCTTTCCCTGGGAACAGTCGTAACTGAGCCAATGTGGAGCAGCACTAGGGTGCTGGACCAGCTCCAGGGAAACCCAGGTATTAAATCCCCATTCACCCAGTGACCACCTCCCCACTTATTCTACATCACAGGGTTGCTGTGACAACCCGAAGGACTTGCATGCTTCGTGCAAGAAGGGTGGGGTTTGGTTTTGTTTTAAAGGAACCAGTTACATGAACCAGTTCTGACACTGTTCGCTGCAAGCTGCCTCTTACAAGCGCTAACTAATACAGAGCATAACTTTGTGGCGTTTGGCCCTTACGTATTACCCTGCCTTTCTGAGCCCTACAATTTTGGACCTGATCAAGATCTTTGGTGCTCTTTTCAGGTGCTGGGTCTCTTCGAAATGGACAACGCAGATTCTCCAGAGCCAGAACCAGAGCAAACCCCCTCCGACTCTGCGCCAAAGCCTCTTTTCAGGGAAGCAAAGCAAGAGGCCGATGAGGAAGAGGGCAGCAATTTGGGTAAGAAGTTCATTTTGCGTGGTTATCTTCTTTGCTTACTGAGTCATCGCACCTGTTTTGGGTTCGTAGGCTCATTCCCCCCCCCAAACGAAATTCAGAGTGCCTGGCATCCAGGGCTGCCCTCTCTGCCCCAAACATTTGCCCCACTGGGGAGCATCGGAGCTTATTGCAAAAGTTCTCCTGATAGATAACATTTCTCCAGCTTTTCTCAAGATGTTACCCTCCAAAGGATCTGCAGTCCCTTCCACATTTTTGTGTCATCCCAGTCCTTCACTTGAGACGCGAATAAAGGGATTCTAAGGAGCTTAAGAACAATGGCTAGTTCTCAGCAGAGACCCTAGAGCAGAACGTGGCGGCTCAGCAAGTTTATTGCCTGTATCAAGCTGGAACTTTCTGCTAAATGGATCTCGAGCAATGCTTCTGGGAACAATCTGTTCCTGCCTGAGATGTTGCCAGTCAGGCTGGATGGGCCGGTGCAAAGCAACATTGGGCTGGCATCCTCTGTAATGCATTTATCAGATTGCCACCGTTCCGTCAAAATGGGCTGGCTGCTCAATTGAGAATCGTGGAAGGGACCTGAGGGTCATCTAGTCCAGCCCCCTGCAATGCAGGAATCTTTTGTCCAACATGGGGCTCGAACCGACAACCCTGAGATTAAGAGTTGTCTTCTGCTCTACCGACTGAGCTATCCCTTGGGATTTGCCTAAAAGAGAGAGTGGGAGGGCATTTGACCCTCCAGATGTTGCCGAACTGCTATCCCCATCACCCTCAGCAAGCGCCAGGGAGGGTGAGTGCCGTCATTCAACAACATCTGGAGGAGCAAAGTTCCCCCTATGCCTGCCTAAAATGCTGCACAAAATCTCGCCATCACTCCTGGCCGTTTCGTATTTTTAAAAAACAAATCCCAGGGTAGCAGGTGATGGGGAAATGCCCCAAACCCCAGAGAACCACTGCCAGGATTAGCTAGGAGTGCCCTCCATAGATGATTATACTACAGTTCCTATCATTCCTGGCCATGCTGGCTGGGGCTGATGGGTACTGGAGTCCAGCAATGTCTGGAGGGATCTCCTGAGGACTGATCCATTTAGGGAAGCTGAGATGGTGTCTGTTGTTTTGAGATCAAGTAGGCTGGGAGCGGGACGCAGGTGGCGCTGTGGGTTAAACCACAGAGCCTAGGACTTGCCGATCAGAAGGTCAGTGGTTCAAATCCCCGCGACAGGGTGAGCTCCCGTTGCTCGGTCCCAGCTCCTGCCAACCTAGCAGTTTGAAAGCACGTCAAAAGAGCAAGTAGATAAATAGATACCGCTCCGGCGGGAAGGTAAATGGCATTTCCATGCACTGCTCTCGTTCGCCAGAAGCAGCTTAGTCATGCTGGCCACATGACCCGGAAGCTGTACGCCGGCTCCCTCGGCCAGTAAAGCGAGATGAGCGCCGCAACCCCAGAGTCGGCCACGACTGGACCTAATGGTCAGGAGTCCCTTTACCTTTAAGCTGGGAGCAAGAGAGGGTGGAATTGTGGAAGAACGTTACTAGCAAATAGTGATGACCAACTCAGCTGAACAGCTCAGGTTTTTCAAATGCCGTGGCCCTTGAAGACAGAGGGTGGTGTTCAGCTAAGTATTACGGAGGGGAGCAGACCTTTGAAATGCTTGGACTTGGTCACGTTCGTTCATTTCGCTGGACGAGATGATCCTCAGGGTCACTTCCAACTCTGATTTTACCACCCAAAGTTTTCTAATGTTTCTTTTTATTAGTTTTCAGTTACAATAATCCAGTCATAGCCTCATTATAACAATGCCAAATTATAATGCAGTTAAAAATACCAATCATTCAGATGCCAAATTACATTATTTAGGTGGCCCCCCGCGTGCTAAAATTGACAGTTTGATTGTTTTATTTATTCCTGCGTTTCAGAATCTTAATAATGTCAGTTACATCCCAGTCAAAATAATAATCCCTTATACAACAACTGCAATGTTAGTAACTTCTATTCCTGTTGACACATTAAATGATTTATAGAACTACAATTGAGGAACTCAATCTATATCGGGGTCGGCAAACTTTTTCAGCAGGGGGCCAGTCCACTGTCCCTCAGACCTTGTGGGGGGCCGGGCTGCATTTTGGAAGGGGAAAAAATGAATTGATTCCTATGCCCCACAAATAACCCAGAGATGCATTTTAAATAAAAACACACATTCTACTCATGTAAAAACACACTGATTCCCGGACCGTCTGCAGGCCGGATTTAGAAGGCGATTGGGCCGGATTCGGCCCCCGGGCCTTAGTTTGCCTACCCATGATCTATATCCTTGTTCTTCCTGTGTGTGGCAATTATTCTGTCCGTGGTGTTTCTTCCTGTCCTTGTAAAATGTTGCCTATCTTTTCCCAGTTGTTGCTGTTCTCCTTCATGCCTTGGGTGGAGCTAATATTGCATTGTTGTTTCAGAAATCCTCCATTTCTCCGTCCCGTGCTTCATTGTTTTGCAACTTTAACAGCAGCTGCAAAAGCCACACTGTCCCAATAAATACCCTGTTTTCGCCATGTTTCTCTCGGCCATTTTTCTCTTGCCTTTCTTTTTCGATAGACAGAGTGATACAATACAGTGGTACCTCAGGTTAAGTACTTAATTTGTTTTGGAGGTCCGTTCTTAACCTGAAACTGTTCTTAACCTGAAGCACCACTTTAGCTAATGGGGCCTCCTGCTGCCGCCACGCCACCTGAGCACGATTTCTGTTCTTAGCCTGAAGCAAAGTTCATAACCTGAAGCACTATTTCTGGGTGAGCGGAGTCTGTAACCTGAAGCGTATGTAACCTGAAGCATATGTAACCCGAGGTACCACTGTATACATATAGAAAAGTTCCTAATCTGGTCCCTGATGTGATCAGGATCTCTCTCTCCCCCTCCCCCTCCCCCTCTTTGCCCGCAGGCAACCTTGGGCAAGTGGCGCCCCGGGCAGGCGGCCCTCTCCCCCTGTACCCAGAGGAGGGCAGCTCCGACGACGAGGGCCTTATTGGACCTTGTCTATGCCGCCAACCTTGAGATCCACAGCCGGCGGCCGCCCCGGAGGACCCGCCTCATCCGGATGCGCACCCACGAGCTGCAGGTGTCCGACGAGGAGTGCTTGACCCGCTTCCGCCTGGACCGCCAGGCCATCCAGGACCTCTGCACCCTTCTGGCTCCCTACCTGGACGGCGCCTCGGCCAGCCGCAGGCACATCCCCACCTTGCAGAAGGTCCTGATCGCGCTGCAGGTGCTGGGCACTGGGTCCTTCCAGCGGATGACGGGCGACAACCTGCGCGTGTCGCAGTCGTCGGTCAGCCGCTGCCTCGACGCCTTCCTGGAGGCCATGCTCCGCCACGTCCACGAGCACATCACCTTCCCCACCACCGACTCGGAACTGCGCCGCACGCGGGAAGCCTTCTTCGACATTGCCGGCTTCCCCAACGTCATCGGGATCGTGGACTGCACCCACGTCCCCATCATCGCGCCGGCTGACATGCCGGCGCTCTACCGCAACTGCCACAACTTCCACAGCCTCAATGTGCAGGCCACTTGCGATGCCTCGGGGTGCTTCACCCACGTGCTGGCAAAGTTCCCCGGCAGCGTCCACGACGCTCGGATATTCCAGCTCTCCCAGCTGCAGAGGCTCCTGGAGTCGTGGCCCGAAGGGAAGGGTTGGCTCTTGGGTGAGTATTTGAGTGTTTGGGGAGGCCCGTTCTGAGGTGACCGAACCATGTCTGTCTGTCCCCACACTGGATGTCTGTGTTGCTGTCCTCTTCTTTGGCAATCCCTCGTAGCCGAGTAAGATTGTCTTACATCAGAGATGTCCAACACGTCGATCGCGATCTACTGGTCGATCCCTGCAAGGTTTTGGGTCGATCGCGGTCGATCGCTGGCCACCTTCCACCCCCTCTCCCTGTGCCGGCCTCCATTGTTACAGAAGGGAAGGTGGAGTTTAGAAACGGAGGCTGTTATCCGGCCAGCGATCGTAAGGTTAGTGGCTGCTTCTGTTCCTCCCTCCCTCAGAAGAGCTGCAAAAAAGTCCCTAACCCCCCTCCAAAAAAGCGGTTCAACTTTGACCTGAACCGCTAAAAAACGGGGGTAGATCACTGCCAGATTTTAAATATTAAATTAGATTGCAGTCTCTTGGGAGTTGGCCACCCCTGGTCTTCCATGAACACAATCTTAACAGTGAGTCCATAAGTGACTGTGGAGGCCAATTCTGGATCCACACATCCTTCCACAGTGGGGACATAGGTTTCCGGGCGGGAGTTGATCACGGTGAGGGTTTGCCAAGCGTGCCTTCCTCTTAGCACGTTTCTCCCTTGCGTCCTGAGTTTGAGCGTCTTCAAAGCCCATGACATCTTTGGTAAAGGCTGTTCTCCATTTGGAGCACTCGCAGGCCATTGTTTCCCAATTGTTGGTGTTTATACTGCATTTTTAAAGTTTTGCCTAAGACACCCACAAAAAATGTGTGTAGGCAGCAAATATATGGGGCCCTGATCCTTTCAGACCCCACAGTAAAGTATTTAGTGGGGCGAGTTCCCCCAATATTTCCTGCAAGTTGATGTCTTCCTCCCTCCCTCCCTCTATTGGCCGGCCGCCTCCCCGCACAGCCAGGCCAAGCTCCCCCGATATATATGGTTTATTTAAAATTTCATTTCTGAATTTCAGAAGTTTACAAAAGAATACATACTTTCCAAATACACACCCATTTCACATTCAACTTCCCCTCCACCCCTCCATGGTTCCCCCCATAGTTTCTAAGTGTGCTGCGTAATATAATTATTGCTTACCTTCTGTTTTCCACACTGGGCTCCCAGCAAATATTCAACTGCTGCTCTCCATTCAAATCCTACCTGCCTTTTTTTTTTTTTTTACATGTTTCCAACAATTCTTTAAATACTCAATAAAGGTTTCCACACCTCCTTATAGTCTGCATCTTCTCGATCTCTAATTTTCATTGTTAAATTTGCCAAATTGGCATATTCTGTCAGTTTTTACAGCCACTCCTCTTGAGTAGGTATCTCCTGATTTCGCCATTTTTTGTGTGAAGAAAATACTCTTGTTGCTGCCATGGCCTACAAAAATAGGTTCATCCATCTTCTGAGCTCCCCCAATATTTCTGAAATTTGCCGCCGTGCTTTCTCCTCTGCTCCCTTCCCTGGCTTGGACAGCACCTTCCTCTCCAGCTGGGTGCCACCCTCTTTTCCCGACTTGCTTCCCAGCTTTTGGCGCCATTTCTGCACATGTCTGAGCTGGGCAGCCGGGAGAGGCAGGCAGGAAGGGCAGTTGGTGAGGCGAGGAGGAAGGGGGGGAGTGGTTGGTACGTTTCTGAGCACAATTCAAAGTGTTGGTGTTGACCTTTAAAGCCCTCAACGGCCTCAGCCCAGTGTACCTGAAGGAGCGTCTCCACCCCCATCGTTCTGCCCGGACACTGAGGTCCAGCGCCGAGGGCCTTCTGGCGTTTCCCTCACTGCGAGAAGCCAAGTTACAGGGAACCAGGCAGAGGGCCTTCTCGGTAGTGGCACCTGCCCTGTGGAACGCCCTCCCACCAGATGTCAAAGAGAACAACAACTACAGTGGTACCTCAGGTTACAGACGCTTCAGGTTACAGACTCTGCTAACCCAGAAATAGTACCTCAGGTTAAGAACTTTGCTTCAGGATGAGAACAGAAATCGTGCAGTGGCAGCGGGAGGCCCCATTAGCTAAAGTGGTACTTCAGGTTAAGAATAGTTTCAGGTTAAGAACGGACCTCTAGAATGAATTAAGTTCTTAACCCGAGGTACCACTGTACCAGACTTTTATAAGACATCTGAAGGCAGTCCTGTTTAGGGAAGCTTTTAATGTTTAACAGACTGTTGTATTTTAATATTTTGTTGGAAACTGCCCAGAGTGGCTGGGGAAACCTAGCCAGATGAGTGGGGTATAAGTTAAATTATTATTATTATTATTATTATTATTCTCGAACATGGGCAAGGGTGTGTAAGAGGGGGAGGCCTGTGCCCAGTTGTGTGTGGCAGAGGAATGTGCCCTCAGGGGAGCAGGGGGGAAGTGTGGGGATGGGAAATATTTTGTTCAAGTTGAGAGCCAGTGTGGTGTAGTGGTTAAGAGCGGTAGACTCGTAATCTGGTGAACTGGGTTCGCATCTCCGCTCCTCCACATGCAGCTGCTGGGTGACCTTGGGCCAGTCACACTTCCTTGAAGTCTCCCAGCCCCACTCACCTCACAGAGTGATTGTTGTGGGGGAGGAAGGGAAAGGAGATTATTGGCCGCTTTGAGACTCCTTAGGGTGGTGATAAAGCGGGATATCAAATCCAAACTCTTCTTCTTCTTCCTGTGCCATTCATGCTCACGCTTCTCCCTCCTCTCCTCCGCAGGCGACAGCGGCTACCCCTTGCGCCCTTTCCTCATGACGCCGCACCCCGACGACGGCCCGGAGCCCGTGGCCCGCTACAACGCCACGCACGAGACGACGCGGATGGTGGTGGAGCGGGCCTTTGGGCAGCTCAAGATGCGCTTCCGCTGCCTCCACTCCACCGGCGGGCGGCTCATGCTTCGCCCGGAGAAGGTGGCCAAGGTGTTTGTGGTGTGTGCCATGCTGCACAACATGGCCCTCCGGCGCCAGTTGCCCATTATCAATGGCGGACAAGGGGTGGACACCGAGGTCCCCGTGCCTCCTTACCTGGAAACCGACAGCCTGGTGGAGCAAGACCCCCGCGGTGTGGATGTCCGGGAGCAGATCATTAGCACTTATTTCTCACAATAAATTTCGACTTTCGGTAGACGGCTCGCGGCTGCTTGCGTGTCCTTCGGGGTGTGGAAGAGTCTTAGAACGTCGTAAGCACTCCTCTCTCCCAGACTTAGATTCCCAGGGCTGTTGCATCCCGCCCAACGACCAAAAACACCAAGAGTTTCCTTAGGGGGTGATCAAGGGCCTCACTCTGTGTGAGGTTTAATCTCTCAGAGCACGAATAAACTGTGGGACTCCCTGCCACTGGAGGCAGTGATGGCCACCAACTCGGATAGCTTTCAAAGAGGATTAGGCAAATTCGTGGAGGAGGAGAGGGCTCTCGATGGCTGCTAGCCAGCTTGGCTACCTCCACAGCTGAATGCTTCTGAATGCCAGTTGTTGAAAAGCTCAGATGGGGAGAGTGACTTTTGGGCTTGGGTCCTGTTTTTGGGCTTCCCGCAGGCATCTGGTCAGCCACTGTGAGGACAGGATGCTGGACTTGACGGCCCTTCCGTTCTCTGTGTCCCTTGCGTATAAAACGGGAGTAGAGATTGACTTCCGAGCTTGTCATGTAAGCTGCTACAACATCCCTGGTAAGCGGCCTTTCTTTAGGGGTCAAGCAGACTTGTTCTCCCCTTATGAGGTGGAAATTTCCCCTTTCCCTTTTCTGCAGATTAACTTCCCCACGTATAAAAACAAGTTCAAGCCCCATCAGTGTGGTAGAAGACCCAAAAGACTTCTCATTTCAACTTGGCCTACTCTGCCGCCACTGCCCACGAGTCTTAATTGCTGGAAAGGAAGCCAGAAGGAGTTTAGCAGGGAGACGGATGGGCTGCTTCAAACTACAGCAGGCGTGGGGAACCTTTTGGTTCCTGCTGAACTACAACTCCCATGAGCCCCAGCATGCATTGCCAGTGGGTATGGCTGATGGGAGTCGTAGTCCAGCAACATCTGGAGGACCAGCGGTTCCTCACATATGACCTACAGTTACTTCAGAGCTTTGCATTTCATCAAATTTGGCACAAGATAACTATGATATCTACGATGCTTCCGAGCACTTGGGGTCTAACAGTGAGAAGAGACAGCGTGGTGTAGTGGTTAGAGTGTCGGACTAGGAACCGGGAGACCTGGGTTCAAATCCCTACCCAGCCACAAAGCTCAAGGGGTGACCTTGGGCCAGTCACTTCCTCTTAGCCTAACCCACCTCACAGGGCTGTTGTGGGGAGTAAAATAACAAGGGGAGAACCATGTGTGTCGCCTTGAGCTCCTTGGAGGAAAATGTTGGACTCAAATGCAATAAAGAAATAATAAAGACCCGCAATCCCACCGTGTTTTTTGTTGTTTTAGTTTAGTTTAAGGGGGGCGGGCTCATCTGATTTCTCATGGAGTGAACGGCAGCTAGAGGGAGGGATT